CCTTCTTTCACCCTCTTCCTCCTCCCCGCCCTCGTCCCCCTTCCCTCTGTCACCCCTTTTCCCTGCATTCAATCACCCCCCTCTTTGGTCTCCTTCACTCTATCTGATGTCAACTTGTCATTTTCTCCCTGCATGTGAAGCATTTCTTACACGCACATGCATCCGAATGCATCGATGCAGCCCTTATCCATTTTCCCCTCCCCATGGGATGGACACGAGATTCAAACCATAATTGCAAAATGCGTGAGACACTGTCCCAGCTTTTGAGCCTGGAGAGGCAGTAATACATCCACCTCATGGTAAGGTCCAGCAGTGCACGACCAAGTTTAGTTCGAGTCTTCTCCGTGGACTGCAAGTGTTGTGAAGGACTTGCAACAAGCTGCTTTCTCGGCCAGCATGCAATTCGCATTGCACCCAACCACGTGAAGGAAATGGACTGCAATGCAACCGATGCTGTGGCTGCTGCAAGGCAGGGAAATCGCTGTGCTAATGCCTGAAAGTGGATGCATGACACAAGCTAGGCAGCACCTACGTGGCCTCTGAATGGTGTAAAGGATGTTATGCTGTAGCTTCAAACTTATGACCATCTGAATGGTTCGATGTTTGCAGTTCGATGTTCGATGCCTGCTCTGCTGGGAACAGGACTGCAATGGTTCGATGTTTGCAGTTCTACATACCGTACCAATAACAATTACCGTATCCAAATCCTTTTTAAATTCTTTTGAGACTTCTTAGATGTTCAGACAAGAGAATGCACTACTTGAAGTACCGTACCGCTTGCAAACCGCTGCTGGCTGCAGTCTTGCCACAGCGCCAGCTACAACCATGCCACGCGCTGCTGTGCCTGGACGAGAAAAAATGACATGGGTTTGACAGAACATGGAAATCACGCAGAAAGGTGAGGCCGATCGTAATGATTTGAGAATGCACAAAAGGCGAGAGGAGAGAAAATAATGGTTAGCCAAGCATAGAGTAAGGAGTGGAAGAGGAAGAGACAGAGTGAGTGCTTCAGAGAGGTCTCAGAGGTGGGAGAAGATTAAAAGAGCGGCAAAATATATGGAGATGGGGAGCACCTAAAGAAGGAGAAGGTGTTAATATTGGAAAAGAGAAGCTCACATGGACAAATCAGGTTGGTGCGGCAGACACAGACACACGTTTGGCTACCTCAAAAGCACCTGAGCTCGCCTGACCGAGCCAGGTGGATAAGGCAGATGAGTGCTCCCCTGACCATGCGCCTCTCAGAAGGCAAGAGAGGAAGTGGGGGTAGTGGAAGAAGCATCACAAGTTGAAATTGAAACAAAAAGCTCACCTGATTGAGCCAGATGGGTGAGGCAGGTGAGTGCTTCCTTGATCGTGCGTCTCTCCGAAGGCGAGAGAGGAAGGGGGGCGAGTGGAGGAGGAGCAAGCGGAGGAGGATGGGAGGAGGGAGGAGGGGTAGATTCAGTGTGGTGAAAAGGGGATTTGAGGAGGAGCAGGAGGTGTGGAAGGGCTCCGGCTTCCATGATTTTCATGCGAGTCTCATCTGGTGGGGGAGAGAAGGAAGGAACGAAGAGGAATAGGGAGAGAGCAGCAAGGTGAGTAACATGCTGCAGGTGCCAAGGGGCTTGGGATGGATGAGGCTAGGGAAAGAATCTGCTAGTCTGACTCACACTATGTTGGCCTTTCATAATATCAGTTGTGCAGGCAGAAGCGTTTGAGGCAGCCACATGCACTTGGTTTTTTAGTCAAACTTGACTTTTGGGTCAAACTTGGCTTTTGACCAGAACTTGACTTCTGGGTCAGAACTTGGTTTTGACAAACGAAAAAGAGGTTCTGGGTAGGAACTTGGCTTTTGGTTCCACGCTTGGCGTTCACTTCATAACTTTCCTTTTGGTTCAGAACTTGGCTTTTGTGTAAAACTAGGCTATTGGGACAAAATGTGGATTTTTGTAGCAGAACTTGGCCCTTATGTTTGGGTTTTGGGCCAAAACTTGGTATTGGGCCAAAATTTGGTTTCTGGGTCACAACTTGGTTTTTGAGTCACAACTTGGTTTTTGGGTCACAACTTGGGTGTGCTCGAACCCTGGCTTTTGCGTAAAAGCTGGAGCTCACAATTGGAAGCAATGAAGGCGAGGCGGTACGCTCCTGATCGCCTGAGGAAAGGGTCCTTTGCCCTGAGGAGAGCAACTGAGTGGTGAATGAGCGAGTCTCCTGAGTGCACGGGAGGGAGCATGCGGACGGGAAATCAGCCTGCAGAATTGCATGAGCTGAGATGGCACTCACGAAATAAGATGAGATGGTACTGACATAGCTGAAATGGCACTGACTTGACACTCGCATGAGCTGAAAGACACTTGCATGCGTTGAGATGACATGGCACCCGCATGAGCTGAAAGACACTTGCACGAATTGAGATGACATGACACTCGTTGCATAAGCTGAAAGACACTTGCATGAGCTAAGATGACATGGCACCCGCATGAGCTGAAAGACACTTGCACGAATTGCGATGACATGGCACTCGTCGCATGAGCCGAAAGACACTTTCATGAGTTGAGATGACATGGCACTTGCATGAGCTGAGATGACATGGCACTTGCATGAGCTGAAAGACACTTGCATGAGTTGAGATGAGATGGCACCCGCATGAGCTGAATGACACTTGCACGATTGAGATGACATGACACTTGCATGAGCTGAAAGACACTTGCATGAGTTGAGATGACATGACCCTCGCATGCGATGAGATGACACTCATCCATGAGCTGAGATGACACTCACCCATGAGCTGAGATGACACTTACCCGCGAACTGAGATGACACTCACCCATGAGTGGAAACGCGTTAATGGCGACCTCAACAATGGTGGCAGCAACAATGAGCTTAAAGCCCCAGTGCGACCGCCACCTCAGATTTTCCTCGTCCGTCGACTCATATTCCTCCCTCTCCCCTCCTTCCCCCCTGCTCCTGCCATCTCCTCCCCTCTCTGCTTCCCCCTCGTCTTGCGCTCCTCGTTGCTACTTGTATATCTCTCTCCCTGCTCCCCCCCCTTGATTTTTTTCTCTCCAACTGATCGCGCCTTCGCTGCGTCCGGCGAGCTGGTGCTCACGAGGCTGGTTACCAGACGCCTCTGCTGGCCAATAAGCAGACATTCGCTACCTGCTTCGCCATTCACGATTCTGGTAACCACTGAGCTCTGTCGTGACAGGGAGACAACAGAGGGTGTCGCCGCAACGCTGGATCTTCTTTCTAGATGTTGTCTTGCGAGCCGGGGACCTACTCTAGTCCAGCGGCAAGACTCCTTCGCCTCGACAACCCACTGCGCGTACGGGGAGCGGTGGCGACGGAGATCAGACGCGGGGATGCAACCAGAGAGGCCTCCATGGTCCGCTGGTCCTCCTGCTCGCGCTATTGTGTCGCATGATCGAGCAATAGCGGCCAAAAGCGGTGCTCCTGCTCCCTCCCTTGCCCCCTCTCTTGCTTCCTCGGCCCCGTGAGCAGAGCTTCCAAGCCGCTCACACGCCGCAGGAAGATCGACGGATGTCTGAGGCCGAGAAGCGCAGAGACGATCTGATCCGTTCACAGCAAACCCACAAACCCCTTGAAGCGACGCGCGTACGGAATCGGAACAAAGACGCTTTGTTACGGAATATGAGGATAAGCTAACGAGAGATCGGTCTACGAGATCGATTGCCTGCCTGCTCTGGGTGCATGTTCGGCGAGAGATTCTGGCAGCAGCTATGGATCCAAGGCGAGGGAGCGCTGGTTGCAGAAACCAGATTTGACATATACTCGTACATTCCAGGCGGTGGTTCGAGCCATTTTACATTTCAGGCAGTGGTTCGAGTCATTTTCCTTGTGAAAGGATCTTCATATGTTCAGATCCGAATGCCTGAGTTGCTCTGTAACTGCACGGTAACATGTGTAGACACAAACTGCTCCGAGTACATTTGGAAGCGAATGTTGGTACATAGGATCGTCGGAAAACCGCAATGCATCATGTGCTGTACAAGAATTCGATTAATTGGTTTTTTTCGTGGACCCATGTACCTTCTTGAACACAAATGTACCGCGTCCTTAGCACACATCCAAGGGAACTCCTTAGAGTGCAGAACGGCAGAACCAGTGCCAACCACAAGCCGTTGATGCATACCTGCATAGCAAAAATCGGGAACACCGATTCTGTTCGGCATTTCCCCTAAAATTGCTGGGGGTTGCCTTGGTTAGGCCATAACTTTAGTATCCCAACATATTCTAGCTTGCGGTGCCATAGACAGTGTTCGATACGCGCGGTGCACGCGGTGACTAACGCGGCATGGAGGACGAGATGGAGGAGATGAACTGGGGGGTGAGCAACCATCCCTTAGCGTGGTAGCTTTGCTCGTTCTAATCGTTAGCCTGCTCTCTTAGTCGTTGGAATGGCTTCGCTTTGCGCTCCGCGACTCGATATGTCGCTATCGATTAAGAGCTGATTGTCTGATGGGATAGTAAGATACATCGCGGAACGGTTGAACTTTTTATTTTTGTTCCTTCATTCTATGTTTTCATTGCTCTAACTCGGTAGTGACAAGCGAAGTTTCCGGTTGACTTTTCGCGCATGAGTCGTAGCGTCGTCCTGTCACTTCCACACTCGTCGACTCCAGTCGTCGTGCTCTTGTCGCGGGGCGATTCGCTGCTTGCACCACAACAAAGCAGCGCTAGTCGAAAGAGAATACTGTGCCCGGGAACGTTTCTTAAATCATGGCAGCGTTTAAACAGGGAAAAAGTTCTCACATTGCTTCGATTAAAAAGAGCTGCACCTATTTCCCTTGACTATATATTTTGCTTTTCCCCGACTAATGACTCTCTCGTCAATGGTGAAACCAGACCAGACTGACACGTTTCTTTCTGAACCATAATTTTGCGCTTCCTCTCCCGTTCCTTTATCAAATTCTTCTGCGTTTTCGCCTTCCCCATAACGCTCGTCTGTGTTCCGTTACCCTCGCCTCACCCTTCGACCCGCGCGGTGGAGCTTCGGCTGGATGGCACTAACAACGTCCCCGTCTCATCCTATTCCCTCTTTCTCAGCCCATTTCCCCATTTTCTACCGTTTCCCACCTTTTTCCCCCTTCCCCCTCCCCCCCTCTTCTCTCCTTCCCGCCGCCTCCCCTCAACCGCACATTTTCCCCTCGTTCCCCCCTTTCCCCCCCCCCCTCCGCTTTCGTGTTCAGGCGGTAGAGGACTGGCCGTCCGTACATCCAGGACGTGTGGAAGGAGCCACGATTAGACGCACCGCTTTTTCTTTGCCCGTGTCATTTTGACTGACCTTCTTTTCTCACCCGAACTCCCACCCCACCCTCCCCTCCCCCCACCACCTGCTCCCCCTATTTTCCTCTCCACTTCCCGCTAAGGACGTGGAGGACCAGCGACCGGGCATTCAAGAAGTGTGGAAGTGGAAGGAACCAACCACGGTTCAACACACTTTGATATTTATTTGAGGCAATTTCCTTCTTCCATTCTTGTTCCCGCCTACTTCCTTCCCCATCTCCCCCCAGGCCGTGGAGGACCAGCTATCGGGCATCCAGGACGTGTGGAAGGAGCCGCGGTTTGACACGCTGCCGCACGTGGTGGCGGTGCTGACGTCAGGGTATCCTCAAGATGACATGGCGAGCCTGGCGAAGCTGAGAGACACCATCGAGGTGCTCGTGGACGACGTCGTGCAGGCGTATCATCAGGGCTTTAACAAGGCCATTCACAACTACTCGCAGGTGGGTTGCTTGCTGTTGTAACTTGTAAGTACGTGTGTAGGTATGTGTGTTACTAGATCGAGGTGCTCGTGGACGACATCGTGCAGGCTTACCACCAGGGCTTTAACAAGGCCATTCACAACTACTCGCAGGTCGGTTGCTCGCTGTTGTATGTGTGTATGTGTGAACCTATGTTATAGTGTTACCATCGAGGTACTTGTGGACGACGTCGTGCAGGCTTACCACCAGGGCTTTAACAAGGCCATTCACAACTACTCGCAGGCCGGTTGCTCGCTGTTGTATGTGTGTATGTGTGAACATATGTTCTAGTGTTACCATCGAGGTGCTTGTGGACGACGTCGTGCAGGCTTACCACCAGGGCTTTAACAAGGCCACTCACAACTACTCACAGGTCGGTTGCTGTTGCACGAGTATATATGCTAAAACTATATAAATTTGGACATACATAATACGTATATGAGACTCCGCCTCCTCACTCCCACCCCCAGATTTGGATCGGAAGCTGTTTGTCAAGTCAGCAGAGCAGGCGAGCTTGCTGAAGGCGAGTCTGGCGGAGAGGCTGCAATGGCTATCATATCCGTGCGCATGACCATGCACCATTCACCACCACACACCGTCTCTCTGTCTCCTTCCACCGCTCGGCCCCTTTCCCTTGTCTCCCCCACCCACCCGCTCCTCCCACCAGATTCTGAAGCTGTTCAGCGAGTCGGCGGAGCAGATGAGCGAGCTGAAGGCGAGTCTGGCAGGGAGGGTGTCACGGCTGTCCACACTCATGACCATGCATGCACCATGCACCGTCCATGTCCCCTCCCCTCTCTGCCCCGCTCCCGCTACCTCCAGATTCTGAAGCTGTTCAGCGAGTCAGCGGAGCAGATGAGCGAGCTCAAGGCGAGTCTGGCGGAGGCGAGGCGGCTGCTGAGCAACCGGCACAAGCAGCTGCAGCAGCTGTGGTGCCGATCAATCACGCTGCGCCACGTCATCTCCCTTATCGACCAGATCGACAGCGTCTCCAAGGCACGTGCATGCATACACATGTGATGCACAAGCACTAGTGACTTCTCAGCAGCGAGTTACGTCATATCTCATATCATATGGTATCTTATATCATATCATATTGCGTCGTGTCGTATCGCATCGTATCATATTGTTTCGTATCGTATCGTACTCGATTGTTCAATCCAACCACCACGCCATGCCAGCATCCATTCATGGACCACCAAATTGTCAGCCTCGTGAACTGCGGCAATGGCACCGCTCCGCGTTCTCCCACACTGCCATTTTTTGGCATCCAGTAGTATCTATCTGCACCGCACAGTGCCGTGCCACCAGGTCGACAGCCTCATGTCTTCTCTCCCCCCATTCTCCCCTGCAAACTCCCTTCTCTCCCCCCATTCTTTCCTGCCAACTCCCTTCTCTCCCCCCCGTTCAAATCCATCCAACTTCTCCGTCCCCTTCTGTGCAGGTGCCGCGCATAGAATAGCTGGTGTCGTAGGGGCAGCTGTATGCTACTGTGCAAAATCTTCTCTCCCATTTTCCATTCTTTCCTGTATCCGCCCTATGAACCTCCCCCCCTTCCTCCCACGCCCCCCTTCCACCCACACCCCTCCCCTCCCTCTTTCATTCCCTCCTGTGCAGGTGCCAGCGCGCATAGAACAGCTGGTGGCGGAGGGGCAGCTGTATGCTGCCGTGCAGATTCACCTGCAGTCCATCTCCACGCTCGACAGAGAGGGCATCTCCCAGGTGAAAACAACAGACAGCATGGTTGCCAGGTGAAAACCAGAGAAACAACATCTGCCAGGCAAGGCTTCACTAACAAGCGCCTACCTTGATTGTGGTAGTCATATGATACGACAGTTCTTGATTGTGCCATGGCCCATTGAGCGAGTGAGTGCATGACATGTGGGTCCATGGGGGGACACATGCGGGGAGAGTTGGCGCATGAGTCATGACATGTGGGTCCAGACTCCAGTGACTTGCAGCCTCTCATCCCAAGCTAGGGAGACACTGCTTCTGATTATTGGGGAGATCTTCAGTCTTTTCAAGATTTCAGTCTATTCAAAAGATTCAGTCTATTCTATGCTCTCAGAGTCCCCCCCACTCTCCATATTCCACTCCACTCCATGCAGATCGGAGCGCTGAGGGACATTCGCAACGAGCTGGCGAACACGAAGCTGCTGCTGTTCAACCGCGTGATAGAGGAGCTGCACGCGCACCTGTACAACAAGGGGGAGCACAGGTGGGTGGGTGTGGTGGGGCATGGACGTTTGGGTATACACGCATGCACACATCTATGCTGCTGCTGTTCAACCGCGTGATAGAGGAGCTGCACGCGCACCTGTACAACAAGGGGGAGCACAGGTGGGTGGGTGTGGTGGGGCATGGACGTTTGGGTATACACGCATGCACACATCTATGCTGCTGCTGTTCAACCGCGTGATAGAGGAGCTGCACGCGCACCTGTACAACAAGGGGGAGCACAGGTGGGTGGGTGTGGTGGGGCATGGACGTTTGGGTATACACGCATGCACACATCTATGCTGCTGCTGTTCAACCGCGTGATAGAGGAGCTGCACGCGCACCTGTACAACAAGGGGGAACACAGGTGAGTGGTGGTGTGAACCGGTTTGTGTGTGTGCTGTGCACGTGCATGTGTGTATCTGTGCCACCAACCTGCTGCTGTTCAACCGTCCATGTGACAGAGGAGCTGCATGCACACCTGTACAACAAGGGGGAACACAGGTGGGTGGTTTGGTTTGTGTGCGTGCGTGGTGGGACCGTGGAGGTGCATTGCATACATAGGTACACGTGCATACACGCGCATGCATGTATGGACGCGCACATGCATGTGCGCATTTGTGCCTAGCTGCTGCCGCTCAACCCTATGACAGAGGAGCTGCTTACGCACCTGTACAACAAAGGGGAGAACAGGTGTGAAAGGGTGGGCAGAAGAGGGACTTGGACTTGGACCCCCAGCACATGGATGGAGTTGTGTCCAAAAACTTATTCAATACCCGTCCCTTCCAACAGGACAGATTCCCACTTTCACTAATGCTTTGCCTCGCCCCCCGTCCCTCTCCACCCCAATCCACTCGGCCGCGCAGTTTGACAAAGGACGATGACGACGACGATGACATCAGCAGCGATAGCTATAACTCTTGTTCCTTCTCGTCCGCCTTATCTCCCCCAATCTTCTCCCACGTTTTCCCCTGCCCTCTCCCTCCCACCTCCCCCAACCCCTTCTTTCCCCCTCCGTCACCCTTCCATGATCCATCCATTCGACTTCGCAGTCTGAAAAAGGAAGCTGCAGCAGACAGCGATGAAAACGGACGACGATGATGACATCAGCAGCGAAGCGACAGCATTCCCTCTCCTTCTCACCCCTTCTCTTGGGTCCGTTCTCTCCGCACCGCACCCCTCCTTTCCCATTGACTGCGCAGTTTGAAGAAGGAAGCTGCAACGGACGACGATGATGACATCAGCAACCTCGTGCCTGTAACCGTGCCGCCCGCCGCCCCGCTACATCCGTCCCTTGCCGCCCAGGGCATCTCTCTGCCCGCCCCTTCCAAGCCCTCCCGCACCCGCGGCCGCAGCGCCAGGGCCCGCGGGGGGCTGAACGTGGAAACTGGGTAAGACGCGTGGTGTGGAGGATAAGAAACAGAAGATATTTACGAGCAATTTGCATGCATGCATTTCCTTGGAGATTCTTTATTATTTGACCACTGTGGCCGCCACATGTGTGTTGCGTGGCGTGAGCATGGAGGCGCGGTAAGGCTAGAGACAGGTGTGGGAAATGGGTGGGAGAACGGACCAACGAGGAATCCACATGCATCCATGCAATGCAAGCATTTCGTGGGAGATGGAAAGGCACATGGGAGATAAGATGAGTCAGCATCACGAACCATGAGTGAGTGAGGGTGGCGATGGCACTGTCAGTCAGCTCTCCTGCGCACAGCAACACCCTTTCCCAAGGGCTTACTCCCCCGTCCATTCCGCCACTTCTCCCTCTCCAACCTCCCTCTCCCCCATGAGCGAATCTGTTTTTTGAGAATTCTCAAATTTGAGGGAGGGGAATTGTATGCCGAATCTGCTTTTTGAGATTTCTCAAAAAGCAGATTCAGCATACAATTTTCCGTCCAATACCCCACTTCTCCATTTCCCACGCGCAGTGAGGCGTCCCTCTTCCCTTTCCTCACTGCCACCCCCGCTTCTTCCCCTTACCGCTTCCCTCTCCAGGTGCGCTAAGAGTGAGATGATGATGGCACAGTGAGTGAGCTCACCACCTGCTCTCACCCAAAGGTATTGAGACTTCATTCATCCGCTCCCTTCCCCACCTTCTCCATCCCCCAGGAGTGCGGTGAGTGAGGACGATGATGGCACAGTGAGCTCGCCCACTTGCAGTGAGGTGTCGGGCACTCCGCATCCCCTTCCCCATCCTCCCCCTCCCTCCCCCTCCCTCCGCATCCCCTTCCCCATCCTCCCCCTCCCTCCCCCTCCCTCCGCATCCCCTTCCCCATCCTCCCCCTCCCTCCCCCTCCCTCCGCATCCCTCCGCCCCCCCTTCTCTCCCCAGGAGCGCGGTGAGCGAGGATGATGACGGCACGGTGGGCTCGCCCACGCGCAGTGAGGCGTCGGGCACGTCCGCGCCGGGGGGAGAGATGGTGGTTAGGCGCGCGCACGTTCCCCCGCCCAAGTGGCTCACTGAAGCCACGTCCAACGAGTTTGTGGTGCGTGGCTGGTGGGGGATTGGGGATGGGATGGATGTTGGTGGTGATGGGGAGAGCGGGATGGGTGTCTGTGGTGGGTGGGTGCGGAGGTGATTCTGATCTGAATTCCAGACGGTGGTGAGGGGCAGCACCATCGCCCACACGCAGTGAGGCATCGGGCATGTGTCAGCCCCGGGAGGGGAGGTGGTGGTGAGGCGCGCCCACGTGCGCCCAAGTGGCTCACTGAAGCCACGTCCAACGAGTTCGTGGTGTGTAGTGGGTGGGGTATGGGGGATGGGGGATGGGATGAGAGTTGGTTGGTGGAGACTCCGGGGTGAGTGAATGTTGTGAGTGGGGGAGCGCCCCAGAGCACGACAAGTACACGCAGACACAGGTGGAGTGTGTGGATCTTCCTGCATGCATGCATGCATTCATTCACACCCCCTTCCTTTCCTACCCCACACCCACCCACCCACCCACCCATTCACGCCCACCCATCCATCCCAACAGGAGTCGTTGACCAAGAGGGAGGCCCCAGAGCACGACAGGTACATGCAGACGCGGGTGGAGTGCATTGCTTGGCATTCATTCACCCGTGCACCCACTCATGTTCACACCACCCCATGGCGTCTCACACAGGAGTCGTTGACCAAGAGGGAGGCCCCAGAGCACGACAAGTACATGCAGACGCTGGTGGAGTGCATCGCTCTGCTGGGCAAGGTGGCGGCTGCTGGTGCTGTGCTCAGGTGAGCCCTTTGTACCTTCCAGCTGGGTCCTCTCAGGTGGGCTGCTCCCGCCTCTCAGATGGCCCTCTCAGGTGGGCCGTTCGCCCTTCTCTCAGGTGAGCTGTTCGCCCCCCTCAGATGGACACTTTGTGCCTCCCAGGTGGAGCCCTGCCCTGCGCCTCCCCAGGTGGTCTTTCCCCCCTCCCAGGTTAAAATTTCCTCCACAGCTTTGATTCCGGCTCCTCTCAGGTAGGCTGCTCACCCATCCCTCTCTAATATTCTCCATACGTGGTGCTGCCCTGGCTTGTGCTCTGGTACTGCCCTGGCTTGTGCTCTGGTGCTGCCCTGGCTTGTGCTCTGGTGCTGCTTTCCATGCATTGCCATCGCCTCATGCTGTGTTACGCCTCTTTGTGTGCGCGCACGTGCGCATGTGTGTGTGTGTATGTTCATGCGTGCATGCGTGTGTGTGCGTGTGTGAGTGTGTGTGTGTGTGTGTGTGTGTGTGTGTGTGTGTGTGTTCATGGATGTGTGTGTGCGTGTGTGCGTGTATGTGTGTGTGTGTGTGTGTGCGTGTGTGTGTTTGTGTGTGTGTGCGTGTGTGTGTTCATGCATGTGTGTGTGTGTGTGTGTGTGTGCGTGCGTGTGTGTGTTCATGCATGTGTGTGTGTGTGTGTGTGCGTGTGTGTGTTCATGCATGTGTGTGTGTGCGTGTGTGTGTTCATACATGTGTGTGCGTGTGTGTGCATATGTGAGCATGTGAGCATGAGAGCAGTCAGCGTGTGCGGGGGTCGGTGCGCGAGATCATCCTTCATGAGATCAAGGACTGTGCAGCTGCAGCAGATGCAGCGCGGTGAGTCAGGGAGTTTCGTTTCGAGATTCAGGCCTGGATGCGGCTTGCTTCCAGATTGAATGACCAGCATTTTCCGTCCGCTGTCCGTAGCACTCCTGTGTCTGCCGGCATTCATTCTTTAATGCTGGAGAAAAGGTCAGCGGCAGGCAAGTCCAGCTGTGAGCGTCTGTTGCGCATGCATCTTGGCGCAGTGCGGTCAGAATCGGTTGAGAGTAACCTTAGCAGCAGATTCCGCTTTTTCACTGCCAAGCCGTTCTTATGCGGAGCAAGCATGGAAGGTGGCGCATTCACTCAAACATCTCTTCCTCGTCGTTCATTCCCGAGTCATTCTTGGGACATTCTGTTGGTGATTAACTGAGCCAGTAGTCGACCTTCTTCACCTATTCGCCCATCAACCCAACCTCCCTCTTCAACCCACCTCCTCCCCCCAGTCCCTGGGTGGAGCAGGTGAGCAAGCACTCCCAAGCTACATCCATGCCTCACTCCCTTCCTTTCCTCTTTTTCCCCCATCAACCCAACCTTCCTCCTCCACCCCCCCCCCCCTGTGGCCCTGCCCCTTTTCCCCAGTCCCCGAGTGGAGCAAGTGAGCAAGCGGTCGCAGGCGGCCACCACGCCCCACTCAGCCGCCTCCACGCCCTCCTCCCACTCCACCGCCTCCTACTGCTCCACCTCCCACAACACATTCCCTTAGGCTTCTCTTCGTTTTTCTTCATTCTCTCTGTGATTCATCAGTTCAATCCTCGACCTCTCCTCCTCTCTCCTCTCCCCCTTTCCCCCCCAGTCCCCGAGTGGAGCAGGTGAGCAAGCGCTCACAGGCGGCCACCACTCCCCACTCAGCCGCCTCCACGCCCTCCTCCCACTCCACCGCCTCCTACTCCTCCACCTCCCGCGCCTCCTCCTACTCCTCCTACCCTCTCCGCTCCTCCAACCCCCGCGGCGGAGCAGTGGTGGTGGCGGGAGGGGGAGGCGCGGGCGGAGGGGCGGGGGGAGGGGCAGGGGCGGGGCTGCATGCTCCGAACGGGGTGGCGCAGGTGGTGGCCCAGGAGCTGCTGGAGTCGATTATGAAGAAACTCACCATCATTCTAGGTGGGTGTGAGTGTATTCAGGGTGTCTGTGTGTGTGGTGGGTGGGTGTGTGCTGGTAGGAGGGGGAAGGAGAGGGTGAGTTGCGGCGGGGGGAGGGGCAGGGGCAGGGCTGCATGCGCCGAACAGGGTGGCGCAGCGCAGATAGTGGCTCAGGAGCTGCTGGAGTCGATAATGAAGAAACTGACCGTCATTCTTTCTAGGTGCGTGTGTGAATGTATGAAAGGCTTTCTATGCATGTGTTGGTGTGTGTGCCAGTAGGGGCGCAGGGGGGGGGCTGCATGCTTGGAATGGGGTGGCCCAGGTGGTAGCTCAGGAGTTGCTGGAATTGATTATGAAGAAACTGACCGTGATTCTAGGTGTGTGTGTTTGGTGGTGTATGCTGGTAGTGGGAGGGGAAAGGAGAGGATGTGTTGCTTGGGGGGGAGGGGCACGGGGGTGTGCATCTAATTTTGAGTCGACTAAAAAAAGGATGGGCGTGGATGTGTGCATCTGTTTTTGAGTCGACTCAAAAAAGGAGAGGCAGGGGGTGTGCATCCTTTAAACAGAATAGAGCAATGTGGTTCTCGTGATGGTGGGCGTGGGCGATTTCATGAAGGCCCAGGCGTCGGACCACTCAGGAGGTGACTTTTGAGTCGACTCAAAAGTCACCTCATGAAGGCCAAGGCGTCGGACCACTCAGGAGGCGTGCAGCGCACCTCCTCTCCTCTCCTCTCCAACTCCTCTCCAATGTACCGCATCCCACCTGACTGTTACCGCAGAGAACCATATTGTGGTGGGGGATCTCATGGAGGCGAAGGCATCGGACCGCTCGGGGGACGTGCGGCGCACGCCGGATGGGGACGAGGCGGTCAGCAAGTTCAGCGCCAGCACGGGCGGCTACAGCGTCGCTTTCGTCTGGTCCTGTATGCAGGTGGGCGGCAAGCTCTGGACTGTTATGCACAGGTGGACGGTTGGTTACTGGCCTGTCCCGCTTGCAGGTGGGATGCGCTTTTTGTTTGATCAATGATCCTGCATGCACGGGTGTGGCTGTTTGTTGTCCTCATGGCACTAGGGATGGGCATTTGGCCCGGACGGGTCGGGTCAGGAATGCTGAGAATGTCGACCCGTCCGGGTCGGGTCGGGTTTACCCGGGCGGGTCGGGTCGACCCGTGACCCGTCAATATGATTTATAGACGGGTATCAGCGACCCGCCGGGTCGGGTTGACCCGTCCCGTCCGGGTCGCATACCCAGTCAAATGACAGGGTTACCCGACCCGTTCTCTGCTTAGGGTACAATTTGGAGAGGGGGAGAACATCAGTTGGTTTTGATGTTTTGTTTCCCTCGACATTCAGATCCAGTCTCTAATCAAGTTAGTAAATCTCCACTGCACCTACCAAAACTCTTACAGTCTTCACTTCAATGTTAGCACTATTTTAATATTTATATTCATTATAGGCATAGGCGCTCCTGCCATTACGCAGTGTCGCACGACCAGGGGCGCAGCAGCGCACTCGCGGCCACGCATTGGCGGGATCGTGTCCCCGCAATAGCGCGATAGCGGCCTTGCAGTAGCACGAACGCCACCAGCCAGAATCGCGGTCCCCACCTCCAGCATCGCGAACGCCACCTGGAGCAGCGCCAAGGCGCCACCATACCCTGCTGCTATGTAGCATATTTTGATCCGACCCGACCCGACCCGTGGTGTAACCGACCCGGTTACGGGTCACAAATACCCGTTCCAACGGGGCGGGTCGGGTCACCAAAACAGAGTCAAACTCGACCCACTAACCCGACCCGACCCGACCCGTTAAGCTAACGGGTCGCCCTAAACGGGACGGGTCGGGCCGGGTCGGGCCAGATGCCCATGCCTACATGGCACTGTGTGTTTGTGTGTGTGGGAACGCTTGGTTGCTCTGTTGTAGAGTGCTGTACAGTGTACTACAGTGTTTGTACGGTAGTCTACACGGTGGGTTCATGATTAATCGCGTGCTGGACATGCTCTCTTACTTCCCTTTTCTCTCTAAACCCGCTCACCAGAGCGAGTGCCAGCAGTTGCTGTGCGACATCCCCAGGGCCAACCCAACCTTTGAATCTTCCCCCTATTCCCCCCTTTTCCCCCCCGTTCCCCCCCTCCCCCCCCCCCCCTTTTCGCCCTGTATTCCCCCTTTTTCCCCCATTTAATCTCTTACCAGAGCGAGTGCCAGCAGTTGCTGTGCGACATTCTCAGGGCCAATCCAGACGGCGGCTCTTCTGAGACGTCAGGGCGCACCGCCCAGCTCAAACTCGACTCCGGCGGGTATGATTCAATTTGATCTGATCTGGCTGGTCCGATCTGATTTGATTCGATCTGATGACCTTATTGAACCCTATTCGATCTGTGCTGGCCTGATTTGAACTAGTTCTCGTTGCTGGTGCCATTGGTTGAACGATGTGTGATGAGGTTTCGCTTATTCTTTCTGTCTGCTGCCTATCCCGCCCCACCCCACCCCACCCCACCCCAGCCCCACACCCCCAAAGCCCCAAGTCCCCCGGACCCCTCAACCCCCACTCTACCTGCTGCTCTCGAGCTGTTCTTCCCGCTCTTTCCCTGCTTTTCTCTGCTCTGCTCCTGACTCTTCCTGCTTTGCTCTGCCCCGCTCCTGACTCTTCCTGCTTTGCTTCCGGCTCTGCCCCTGACTCTCCTCTCTGTGTCGCAACACTTAATGCCCTGTTCTCTGTCTGCCTCTTCTCATGCACAACAACGGCCGGTGCCCCGCGGCTTCATCTGTTGCATGCATGGTTACATGGGCGTGTAACCGATTGTGGATGCATGACTGCATGGGTGCATGGGTGCATGGATGCATGCATGGGATGGGTGCATGGGTGCATGGGTGCATGGATGTGTGGGTGCATGGATGCGTGGGTGCATTGGTGCATGGTGCATGCATGGATGTGGGTGCGTGGGTGCATGGATGCATGGCTGCATGGCTGCACGACTGCATGAATGCATGGTGTTGTGTGCAATGCAGCACCAAGGGAGCCATGCTCACCTTCAGCTTCCGATTCACCGACGCCAACACCACCTCCGCTCCTGCTGCAGGTGGGTTGTTGCTGCTGCAGGTGGGTTGCCCTGTTGTCGGTGCATGGGTGCACTTGTCTCTGCCATGCATGCATGTGTGTGAGCAGCAGCAGCACCAAGGGGGCCATGCTCACCTTCAGCTTCCGATTCACCGACGCCAACACCGCCTCCGCTCCTGCTGCAGGTGGGTGCGTTGCTCGCTCCTACTCCGGGTGGGTTTTTCTGTTCTGGCTGCATGGGTGCACTGTTCTCTGCCATGGCTGTGTGGGCAGCAGTACCAAGGGAGCCATGCTCACCTTCAGCTTCCGATTCACCGACGCCAACACCGCCTCTGCGCCTGCTGCAGGTGGGTTGTTGCTGCAGCAGGTATGGTGCTCCTGCGGCAGGGGTGTTGCCCGCTCCTGCCACAGGTACATTACATTGTTGCCGCAGCCGCTGGTGTCGTGCTCTCTTTCAGGTATGCCGCTGGTGTCGTGCTCTCTTTCAGGTATGCCGCTGGTGTCGTGCTCTCTTTCAGGTATGCCGCTGGTGTCGTGCTCTCTTTCAGGTATGCCGCTGGTGTCGTGCTCTCTTTCAGGTATGCCGCTGGTGTCGTGCTCTCTTTCAGGTATGCCGCTGGTGTCGTGCTCTCTTTCAGGTATGCGGCCCTCTCCTTGCCTCTCTGTCCCTTCAGGTGTGTTTCTGCTGCGTCAGGCGCCACTGTGTTCCTTCATGTTTCCCTATGTAACCCCCACTTTTGTCTCGTCATCCTTCGCTTTTCTCTTCCCTCCCGTTTTTCTGTCTTGTCCAATGACGGACCTACTGTGCTGTGGTAAGAGTAGCAAATTTTGTCCCAGCCCTCAAGAGTTTTGAGACATCCCAAAGCTCACTCTCTCTCTCCCATGGAACACGTTTCCTGCTCATACAACTACGCACCTACCCATAACTACTGTGATTAGCAAAGCCCTCCCAGTCCTCTCCACCCGCACAGAGCCTCCCTGAAGCCACCCTGTAGCCCCCCTCCCTATTACTTATGTGAGTTTTGAGGCGCCTCAAAAGTCCACCCGCACAGAGCCTCCCTGAAGCCATTCTGTAGCCCCCCTCCCTGTTACTTATGTGAGTTTTGAGGCGCCTCAAAAGTCCACCCGCACGGAGCCTCCCTGAAGCCACCCTGTAGCCCCCCTCCCTGTTACTTATGTGAGTTTTGAGGCGCCTCAAAAGTCCACCCGCACAGAGCCTCCCTGAAGCCACCCTGTAGCCCCCCTCCCTATTACTTATGTGAGAAAACGTGAGAAAGAACCGTTAATCTCATTAGGAGAGATGGGGGTATACATAGTAGTGCTAGGAGGGGGGGGGTTGGTCGGAACCAAGCCAACATTATTGGCCCCTACCAATAAGTTGGGTTGAGGGATTATTGGGGGTACCAATAGTGTTGACCAAGTGGTTCAACATTATTGGGGGGACCAATAATTCCCAACCCAACCTTGGGGGCCAAGGTTTGAGTTTCAACCCCCAACTAGGGTTGGCCCTAGTTCTACACCCAAAGTAAGATTGGGTGGCTATCTCTATCCTATGCTTATAGGATTGATGTAGGTTACAATGAGGATGATAATCTGACAACTTATCGGTGGTTTTTGAGAAATTTCTCCCTGCACCTGTAATTCCCCTCCCTTCGTCCACCACCCTCATTTGGGTGTGTCTTTCCTGCTTACCTTCTGTTCCCTATCAGCCTCCCTTTGCTTCTCCCTACCGCCCCTACCTTTGCTTCCGACGACCTCTCTCCCTGCTTTCCTCCCCTCCCACCTCATCCACAGCAGAATCACCACACCCCTCTTCCTGCTCTCTGCCTTCCCTCTCTCTGCTCTTGTTCTCCCCTGTCTCCGCCCTATTTCCCCAAACATAGCAGAGGCGCTGCCAAAGAGGCGGGTGGGGGGCATGGCGGGGGGAGCGGGCGCACTGGAGGGGTACGGCACGGCCCAGCTGCTGCCAGAGCGAGGCATCTACCTCACCTCCGCCTGCTACCGCCCCACGCTGCAGGTGGGTTGATTTGTCTGTTGTGGGTTTGAGTCAAAGGAGTTGCTCTGCTGTTGCCAGAGCGAGGCATCTACCTCACCTCCGCCTGCTACCGCCCCACGCTGCAGGTTCGCCAAGCAGAATTCATTTTTAAGTGGAACAGGCCACTCCACTCAAGCCCCTCTGCACCACTCAAACCCCTCTTTCCACTAAAACCAACCTAAACCCTAATCCTCTCACACCTCACACAAACCTACCTTCTATTCCAAATGCTTTTTAAGTAGACTGATAGTGGCGCATTCTTGCTCCCTCCCCCCCCCCCTCACTCCCTCCCTCCTTCGCTCCCTCACTTCCTCACTTCCTCCATCTTCTCCCTGTGTCCTCCTCTCCCCCCTCCCGCTCTCGCTTCCTCCTGTCCTTCCCAGTTCACAGAGAAGGTTACTCAAATGCTGCCACGCAAATACTCCGACCTAGGGTGAGTTGCCATCCACACAACATTGCATCTGTTTAACTGCTTTCGCTCAAATCTGTAAAAACTATTTTACGGAACAGTAATAAGTATGGAGCTGAGTCTTATGCACCATCCATCTGCCCTGCCTTAGCAGTTCTCCTGGCAACCACAACCAATTCGCCACCCTCTCCCGCTTGCTCCCCACCTTCATCCTGCCCCTGCTGCTACAGCAAAGCTGAATATTCAGTCGACCAAAAAAACCACTGGAGTCGCCACTCTTTCTTTCTCGCTTTTGCTGCCCCTATCCCCACTCTCCCTTCCACCCCCTGCCCCTGCTGCTGCAGCCGCTCTGGCCTGCGCCCCTTTATGGACAGCTTCGTTAAGGACCAGTTCCTGCCCTGTGTGCGCGACGACTACCGCAACCGCGTCGCTGAGGCTCTCTCCAGTGAGTGTGCCCTCTCCAGTGAGTGTGCCCTCTCCCGCTTATGCATTGGATTGGTTGGAGCAACCTAGCAACCCATTGCTGCCCACTTCCCCATGCTCGCTTCCTCCCTTTCCCCCCTTCGTCCTCCCCACCGCCTGCAGGCCCGTCTGCCTTCCGCCCGCGAGCCAAGACCATCGGCATGTACGAGCCAGCAGCCGAAAAGGGCCGCCCGCTGCTGCAGGGGCCGGTGGCGGTGGAGGGGGTGGTGGAGGAGGTGGTGGAGTGGGCCAAGGCCATGCCCGTGTATGCTGGGGAGTTCGTAGCCCTTGTGCACACCCTGCTTGACCGCACACTCGAGCGCTGCCGAGGAGTCTACACTGAGGTGAGCTGTGTGCTGCAAGCCAGACGTTGAGGGGGGTGGGGGGAAGTCTCCTATGGGAGGAGGTGGTGGAGTGGGCCAAGGCCATGCCCGTGTATGCGGGGGATTTTGTTGCTCTCGTGCACACCCTGCTTGATAGGACTCTCGAGCGTTGCCAGGGTGTTTATACCAACGTGCGCTGTTTGGTCTGGGGGAGGGGGACGGGAGGGCGGGGAGAGTGAGAGGTTGAGGGAAAGCGAAGGGTGGGTGAGAGGAGTGATGGGGTGGTTGCTGTGGATGGGATGAGGGTTTTGTGTACTCTTACAGCAGGCAGTAGCCATTATTCTTCTTCCGTTTCCCTTCCACTCCTGTACCCCCCGCACCCAAAATCCACCCTTGTTCTTCTTTTCCTCCTCCCCGAGTCCGTTCTCGGCTCTCGTTGCAGCAACCTATTGGGCTGCCCCGTTCTGAGGGGACTTTTGAGCCGACCTCATGCAGCAGCAGGCCGTCCCCTCCCCATAACCCCAACTTCCCTACTCCCTCAACTTCCCTATTCCCCTCCCTTTCCCCTGCCTCTCCCAGGCTGTGCTCGGCCCGCTCAGCAGCAGCCCAGTGGGCCGCCCAGATATTGACAACCTCATGCAGCAGCAGGCGGCCTGCTCTTCCTCTTCCCTCTCCACTCCCTTTTTTCCCATTTCTACTCTACTGCACCCCCCCACCACCACCGCCCCGCCCCCTGCCCCCTTGACCCCCCAAGGCTGTGCTCGGCTCTCTCAGCAGCAACCTGGTGGGCCGCCCGGATATCGACAACCTCATGCAGCAGCAGGCGGCAGCCAAGCTGCTAGCGGACGGCGATCTGCCGCCCGCTGAGCTGGAGGCCGCCCGGGAGGACCCGCCTCTGGACAGCGAGGCGTACGAGCTGGACCTCGAGATCTACGGCAAGCTGCTGGCTTTAAGGCCTATTAAGGAGGTAGTTACTTTTGTGTGGGGGAGGGTGTGTGTGTGTGTGTGTGTGTGTGTGTGTGTGTGTGTGTGTGTGTGTGTGTGTGTGTGTGTGTGTGTGTGTGTGTGTGCGTGCGTGTGTGTGCGTGCGTGTGCGTGCGTGCGTGGGTGCGTGCGTGTGTGCGTGCGTGGGTGCGTGCGTGCGTGCGTGGGTGCGCGTGTGTGTGCGTGTGCGTGCGTGGGCGTGCGTGGGTGCGTGCGTGGGTGCGTGGGTGCGTGTGCGTGCGTGCGTGTGCGTGCGTGCGTGTGCGTGCGTGTGCGTGCGTGCGCGTGCGTGTGTGCGCGTGCGTGTGCGTGCGGGTGCGTGCGGGTGCGTGCATGCGTGTGCGTGCGAGTGCGTGCGTGTGCGTGCTTGTGCGTGCTTGTGTGTGCGCGTGCATGCGTGTGCGTGCGTCGTGTGTGCGTGCGTCGTGTGTGCGTGCGTGCGTGTGCGTGCGTGTGCGTGCGTGTGCGTGCGCGTGCGTGCGCGCGCGTGTGTGCGGCGTGTGTGCGGCGTTTGTGCGGCGTGTGTGCGTGTGTGTGCGTGTGTGTGCGTGTGTGTGCGTGTGTGTGCGTGTGTGTGCGTGCGCGTGCGTGTGTGCGCGTGCGTGTGCGTGCGGGTGCGTGCGGGTGCGTGCGTGCGTGTGCGTGCGAGTGCGTGCGTGTGCGTGCTTGTGCGTGCTTGTGCGTGCGCGTGCGTGCGTGTGCGTGCGTGTGCGTGCGTCGTGTGTGCGTGCGTGCGTGTGCGTGCGTGTGCGTGCGTGTGCGTGCGCGTGCGTGCGTGCGCGCGCGTGTGTGCGGCGTGTGTGCGGCGTTTGTGCGGCGTGTGTGCGTGTGTGTGCGTGTGTGTGCGTGTGTGTGCGTGTGTGTGCGTGTGTGTGCGTGTGTGTGCGTGTGTGTGCGTGTGTGTGTGTGCGTGTTTGTGTGTGTGAGTGTGTGTGTGTGTGCGTGTGTGTGTGTGTGTGTGAGGATGTGTGTGTGTGAGGATCCGCCATGCTATGTGCGATCGAAGACCCGCCTCTGGTCTGGACAGCCAGGCGTGCGAGCTGGACCTCTCTGGGCCCTCTCGCCTTCCTTTCCCTTTCTCCCCGGCGGGAGAAACTCGTTGTGGGCACCGTCAGTGACATTTTTCTTCTCCCTCCTCGTTGCCTCGCCTCTCATTCCCCCTCGCACCTTGCCGTTCATCCCGTTCTCCCCTGGCAGGCAGGAGCAACTGATTCTGGACACTGGCAAGTGGGTGCTTCTGGCGGCACTCAGTGCCTCCCACTGTCCTCACACCTCACCTCTCATCCGACTGTGTGCTTGCCTGCCTTTCATCCCCGTTTCTCCCTCTCAGGAGCAACTGATTCTGGACACCGGCAAGCTGGTGCTGCTGGCCGCTCTCAGTGACACACTTGAGTACTTTGCCGATGCCATCCTGCGGTGAGTGCTGCTGATGCCATCCTGCGGTGAGTGCGTGGCTGTGGTGACTGTATGCACACATGCGCACATGCACGCTTGCAGACATGCGCATACCGCCCTCTTCCCCCAACCCCTGCTTCTTCCCATGCCCAGTCTGGACCGCCCCAAGGTAGCAGGCAGTGCGAGGAAGAAGACAGCAGCGGCATCAGCGAGGCAGCAGCAGGCACCGGATCTGACGCTCTTATAATGATCTCACTTCTCGCACTCTTCCCCTGTCCCAATTCCAGTCTGGGCCTGCCCAAGGTAGCAGGCCGTGCGAGGAAGAAGACAGCAGCAGCGTCGGCGAGGCAGCAGAGGGCACCGGCGCTGACGTTACTGCTAATGGTTCCTCTTCCCACCCTCTTCCCCCAACCCCTGCTCCCTGCTCCCTCCCATTCTCAGGCTGGGTCGCCCCAAGACAGCAGGCAGTGCAAGGAAGAAGACGGCAGCGGCATCAGCGAGACAGCAGCGGGCGCCGGCGCTGACAGCTTCACTGCAGCAGCTGGCGGAGCGCTACCGGCTGCTGGCGAGGGAGGCTCTCAGGACACTGCGAGTGGAGATGCAGCTGCATTGTATCTTCCACCTGCAGGTACTCAAGTACACTAGAGTAGAGTTTGTGTACCCTAGAGTCTGCAGCAGCTGGCGGAGCGTCACTGCCTGCTGGCAAGGGCTTTTGAGGCGCCTCAAATGACGGAGTGTCACTGCCTGCTGGCGAGGGAGGCTCTCAGGACACTGCGAGTAGAGATGCAGCTGCACTGCATCTTCCACCTGCAGGTGCAGTTGTGTTGTGTATGTGAGTTGATGGATGCTACTGCACTTCCCATAGGCTGCAGCAGCTGGTGGAGCGCTACCGGCTGCTGGCACGGGAGGCTCTACACGCCCTGCGCGTGGAAATGCAGCTGCACTGCATCTTCCACCTGCAGGTATACTTTTGCATGTGAGTGAGTGGATGCTGCTGCATTGCGCTACCTCGTTGCAGCAGCTGGCAGAGCGCTACCGCCTGCTGGCAAGGGAGGCCCAGCGCACGCTGCGCTGTTCCGTCCCCCTCTGTTCCGCACCCCTCTGTTCCGTCCCCCTCTGTTCCGTCCCCCTCTGTTCCGCCCCCCTCTGTTCCCCCCCCCTCTGTTCCGCCCCCCTCTGTTCCGCCCCCCTCTGTTCCATCCCCCTCTGTTCCGCCCCCCTCTGTTCCGCCCCCCTCTGTTCCGTGGCCTGCTCTGTTCCCTCTGCTCGGTGCCCCTTCACTGCAGTTCACACCGAACCGTGAGTACTGAGGGGTTTCCTCATCCTTTGAAGTCAATGGGAATGATGGGAATAATGGGAATAACCTTCAAATCAAATTTCCTGATCCTCCATCCGTTCGTCCCTCCCTCCGTGCCTCTCTGCTGCAGTTCATGCCGACGCGTGGTTACGTGAACAAGATTGATGCAGAGGAGCCAGAGCTTCGAGATGTCTCAGAACTTTGTTCGGTCCCTCCGTGTCCCCCACACCCATCGTCACCCCCATCGCTTTGGTGCCGCTGTGCTGCAGTTCATGCCCACCCGTGGTTACCTACGTGAACGAGATCCATGCAGAGGAGCCGAGCCAGAGCTTTGAGATGTCTCAGAACTTGTTCGGTCCCTCCGTGTCCCCCACACCCATGTCACCCCGTGCCTCTCTGCTGCAGTTCATGCCGACGCGGGGGTACGTGAACGAGATCGATGCAGAGGAGCCAGAGGACTTCATCGTGGCTCTCACCGCCCAGGTACAGTTCGAACAACAACCAACGCCACAGGTGTTATGCATGAGCTCCAGCCATGCATGACACGACACAATGGCAAACTACTACTGAGGCGCCTCAAAAGGAGCCAGAGGACTTCATTGTGGCTCTCACCGCCCAGGTACCGTTCACACAACAACCAACTCTATCTACAGGTGTTATGCATGAGCTGCAGCCACGTCATGTATCACACAATGGCAGGGCAGGCTCCCTTTTGGTGCTCTATTGGTACCCGCCCACCCCACTGGTACGCGGACGAGATAGACGCAGGGGAGGAGCCTTTTCAGGCCTTTCAGAAGATTGATGCGGAGGGGACCGAGGGTTCCATGGTCGCTCTTGCTGCTCAGGTACTGTTCCTGGCCTGGGGACTTGCACTCTTGGCTTGGACTTGTACTGTTTTCATTCAGACTCGCACTGTTCATGTGTACAGGACAGCATGCGGGGACTGTGTCATCTGCCCTCACCAGCCAACCACCCTGCAATGCAAGTGTGTCAAACCCACATTCCCCTCCCCTCTTTTACCTCCCTCCCTCCCCACCCCCCTTCTCTCCACTTACTCTCTTCCCCCTCTTTCCTTGGCCAGCTCACCCGAGTGGACGAGGAAATGACGGTCTTCATCGCCCCTGCTCGTCACTACTATGTCTTTGTTGGCGTCTGCAGCCTCGCCCTGAACCCCCCCACCTCCCCCTCCTCCTCTTCATCTCTCTCATCCCTCTCCCCGTCCCCACCCTCTCTCCTTGGCCAGCTCACCCGAGTGGACGAGGAAATGACGGTCTTCATCGCGCCTGCCCGCCGCTACTACGTCTTTGGGGGCGTCTGCAGCCTTGCTGCCACAGGCCTTATCCGGGTAAGCTCTTTCATCAAAACCACGCTGTTGCTATGTGTGTGTGCTGCTGATAGTACACCCATCATGCTAGTTAGTTGAGCTTACATGCAATTATGGGTGGGGGCGTCTGCAGCCTCGCCGCCATAAGCCTTATTAGGTATGCTCGCTGCTATGTGTGTGCTTACTGCTTGCGTGCTCTTTGGTCGTATGTCCATGTGCTGCTGGTCCGTGCACTCCAATTTCATATGATATTTGAGTTTTTTTTTTTTTTTTTTTTGTCGACGTCGACCTTCATTCAGACGTGTTTTGATGAGCTGAGGGTATGAAGCATGCAGCCTTCAGTTCGTCCTCTTCTCCTTCCGTCCTTCCGAAGTCCTGACAACATTGCATAGCAGCGATATACTCGCTCCTCGTCTTCTCAATCGTCCCCAATTCACGCCCTTTCCTCTTTCTCTTTCGCTCCCTCAGCCCCCTTCCTCCTCTCAACTATCCGCTCGTCCATCCCCCATTCCTCCCCCTAAACCCAAATCCCCCATTTCCCCCCCCGGTAACCCCACCCACCACACCCCATTCCTCTGCTCTTCTCCCCACCACCAGGCTCTGGCGGAGCTGCCAGGGATCAACTCGCTGGGAGTGCGGCAGGTGCAGCGCAACTGCATCGCACTGCAACAGGTGACATTGACATGTTATTGCGCAGAACTGTTCCGTTCTAGGCATTCTTTTTCATCAGAAGATTGTTGTTCATCTCTCACATTCTACTCCCCCATCATCTACTTTCCCTCCCCGCTTGTCTCGATCCCCGCTCCACTCTCCACCTCTGCACTCTCACCCTTCCCCTTAATCTCATCTGCCCTGGAATCCGCGTGTAGTGAGTCGATTTTTGAGTCGACTCAAAAATCGACTCACCCTTCCCCTTTATCTCATCTGCCCTGGAATCAGAGCATGCCAAGTCAGCCCATGGTAAACCTCTCCCCACACCTTCCCCACAACAATCCCATCACTCCCATTTTCTTCCTTCCCCACTCCCTCCATTCCCTCTGGCCGTCAGACCCTGGCAACACTCAACGCGAATGGCAGTCAGAGTGTGCAGCTGAGTCTGGACCGCGTGGGCGAGTACTATGAGCTGCTCAACCGGCCATATGAGGTGTGTGCTGCTGTGAGGTGATGGCTGCTGCTATTGTGAGGTGAGGCTGAGCGATTCATAGCACTCATAGGTGGGGGGTGCAATGCGCTGCACTCTCCACTGCAGCACGCACCTTCATAGGTGGGTGCTATGAATCGCTCAGCCTCCCTTGTAAAGTGCGCATTGCACTTTAGGGCTAATCAGTAGACATAATTTGGCAACAACCGCTCATTCCTCCCCTGCTCCTACTTCCCCTCCATTCCCCACATGAGTACCTCCGTTGCTGCAAGACTCCACTGATTCTTTCATTCTGCTCTGTCTGTTTATTTGTTCCTTCTCTCGGTCACAGGCGCTGCTGGCATACGTTAAGGACCGCAACTGCTACTCGTGTCTCATCTTCCCCTGTTTCTATCCTTCCGCAATCTCTCTTTTCGTCCCTCTTCCCACTCTCAGGCGCTGCTGACATACATCAAGGACCACAACCGCCACCTCCCTTTCCACACCCCGCTTTTGCTGTTTCATGACAAATGACGCGTGCTCTACTCTCTGTTTCTATCTCTCGCTCTCTCTCAGGCTCTGCTGGCATACATCAAGGACCACAACCGCTACTTCTCCGTCGATGAGTAAGTCAAGTCCCGCCTGGTATCAAGTCCCGCCTGGTTACCGTATGACACACCAATAATCTCCTGTCTGTATCCCCGGTGCCCGTTTGTCAGTTGCACGCCCTAGAGTAGCCGTTTCCTATTGTGGCCAGTCGTGCGTGCTTAGTCTGCCTCTTCTTGCCTCTCGGTATGGGTGTGACACTGTTTGAACGCTCACAAGCACGGCACCTGCAGGTTGACGGAACTGAGGGATGTCTGCTGGTTGACGGAACTGAGGGATGTCTGCTGGTTGATGGAACTGAGGGATGTCTGCTGGTTGACGGAACTGAGGGATGTCTGCTGGTTGACGGAACTGAGGGATGTCTGCTGGTTGACGGAACTGAGGGATGTCTGCTGGTTGACGGAACTAAGGGATGAACAGCTTGCGTCATTCTCACATCCCGCTCCTCTCTCTGCCACCCCCCTTGGCTTGCTGCCTCTAGGAACATTTCTACTCTCAATCGTTAAACTGGGTGGTTCTGCTTGTGTCACTGCCAGGTACCTCACCCTGATCAAGGTGCGTGTGCCTGGAAGGCACGTGCCAAAGGATGCGACAGAAACGATCAAGGAGCTTTTGCAAGAGGGCTGATATTAGCATTGCCTGTGATTGGTGCTTTGGATTGTCGGATTAGTGTCCCCTAGTCAAGAACTAAGTAGGTTAAACTGATATGTGTTTCAGATAATTTGCCCTCGTATCTTACACTGTGCACTCTGGCTAGGTTTTGACAATGTAATGCCCCCTGAGATTTTTCAAGTATTATATGTATAATTTCTTTGCTTTCTTTTGATCTATGCATGTTATCGAATTCTGTAGCCAGTATGTTTATTTGAATCAGCCCTCGCGCTTATCGAGAACACGTTCCCTGGTGATGACATGCCAGCACGACAAACGCCGCGGTCTCCTTACAACGCGCTCCTGACATTGGGAGTTCCCGCGCGATGCTTTCCATGCCAACATCGTGCCATGTTTGGCTCGGTTCAAACCACAAGATTACTTCCCCGAATGCTGCCCGTCTAGGTGTTACCGTGTTTGATCCATCCTCCTAAACTTTCTAACGTCTATTCTTTTCTCCTCAAGGCAAACCGCATAACTAGCTCTAGCGCTTAACTGTTGGTGTGCAACTTTGGCAGCTTTGGAACTCTTATGAAGCTTTTGGGGGAACTCGTTTCAAAATACACAGGAGGCAAGGACGGCTGGATTCGTGCAGTTCGTGCATCCTCGAAACGCTGGTCGTTGCACCCGCAAACCAAAAAGTGTGCTTTCTTTGGTGAGCTTGCAAGAATGATCTTCCAAGTTGGTGCTTCCACCATGTCTAGACTAATGTTATCGATTTCATCGCAAGCACGTGCAAAGCGTTTCCTCAGGGTCCGTCACGGCTCGCGACCATACGAGTGTTGCGTCTTGCGTGCCTGAGCGTCCCAGCGTTTTGCGTTAGCGCACGGGCAAGTTTTGTGAGCATACTGCTTCCTCCGCTGTCCACGATCTTGTCGGAGAGAAATCGCGAGGGTCGCACGATAGGAGGCTTCCGAAAACAGGGAAATGCGTCAATTAATTTGAACGAGAGGATCAAATTTACGAAACGTCGCAATCAAGCGACTGCCTGATTGGTAGACTCGTGTAGGTGGTATGTTCTTGACGACAGGGTATGCAATTGCGTCACATTGAATTCAAGACAAGAGACACAGACATCCACCTTTCTTCCTGTCAGATAGAGACGTTCTGTCATCTTGACAATATTATATCGGTTCTAGCTCGCAACCTGTGAAGGTTCATCTGGTCCGGTAGACATCTTTGTCCCGCACAGTCTAGTTGATGCGAATACAAATTCTGGTTACAGCTTCTTAATTCAATTCGCCGCCAACGGCTCGTGAACGCTCTTCGCGAAACAGTCTTTAAAGCAATCAGCACAGCACCGGCCTCGTTCCATAGAAACTGCGTATCCTTGAGACTCGTTCCGTCGTGTATCCTTGATACTCGTTACGTACGGCGGTCGATCCGAGAGCCTCTCTAAGCCCACTCCTCATAGCACCATATACTCATCTCATATTTTAGTACTCCAAGCTACTGCCTTTACCCGATTTCTACGACCCGATTCCCATCCTCCCGTCACGCCCTTTTGTTTCCCTCTCCCCGACCCCGCCATCACGGGCGCGCATCTCCTCCCCCGTTTCCTCGTCCGCCAACCCCCCAGCCCCCTCTGCAGCCCTCTGCTTCCGCCCGCGCACGGTTCCCCTTCCCCCCCGACTTCCGCCTCCCCGCCCCGCCCTTCCTCTTTTCCTGCATCTGCGCAAGCCGCCACGCTGGAGGCGGAGAGGCTGATCGGAGGGGAGGGGGAAGCGGGGGAAGGGTTAATTGGGAAAAAAGAGGGGGAACCGGGAGAAGGAGCGGGGGCTTATGCGGAAGTTGCTGGCGGCGAGGAAAGGGGGGATGGGAAAGGCGGAAGGGAAAGGTCTGGGGACGGTATGGATGGCGACCGCGCGAGCGGGGAGCGGGAGCCCTTGACGGGAGGGGGAAACGGGGAAGATGGGAGAGAGGGGGAAGAGGGAGTGGCGGAGGCTATGGGGGGAGGGGCGCAAGCGAGCAATCCAAATATAGGGGTTTCCATGGAAAGCGTTAGCGTGAGTGAGAGCACTGAGGTGGAGAGAGAAAAGAGGGACGAGATGAGCCCGATGGAAGGAGGGATGGGGCAAGCAGGCACGGAAGTAGCTGCAGCAGCTGCTGCTGATTCTGCTGCAGCAAGGGCAGCAGAAGGGGCGCGAGACGGGACAGGAGAAGGGGCAGGAGATTCGGGTAAAGGAGTGAGTGGAGGGGGAGAAGAAGCACCAGGGACGACTGGAGAAGAGCAGTCAAAAGCCTCACCGCAAGCAGACCCCTCGCTCACACCCGCAGCAGCAGCAGAGGGAGCAGGAGCAGCAGGATCAGCAGCAGCCGGAGCAAGAGCAGGAGCGAGAGGAACAACAACAGCGGATGGAGGGCGCACGTGGGGCGGGGGAATCCGCGCCAACACCACCCCCTACTGGCGCTTCGTGCAGATCCTCTCCGCGGTGGGCGCGGGGGTGATATTCATCCCCGCGCTCGTCTTCACAGTCATTATATTCATCCGCAGCCTCTTCCTGCAGGCCTGGTACCACCTCTGCTACTCTGGCGCCGTGCGCCGGCGAAATCGGCGAGTGGTAACCCCATCGTGCCTGTCCGTGCTGCCTTCGCCGTGCATGCGGGGGACTCTGGATCTGGAGCAGCGATTGGAGGTGGTCTCGTGGGAGGGCGGGCGGGTGGTGACGTGGCGCAAGTCGGACGAGGCGGCGAGAGGAAGTGGTGGTGCCGCTGCTGATTCTGCTGCTGGTGATGGTGACAGTGATGGTGGTGCTGGTGCTGGTGCTGCCGGTGTGAGTGCTGGAAGTTCGAGCAGCGAACCGCTGCGAGGAGAGAAGGCGAGCGAGGGCGGGGAAGGAGAGGTTCGGATCGACGTGGGCGGAGGCTCGGGAGCCGAGCCTGCGGGAGGGCGCGGAAGCGGCAGAGGAGGCGCGGGCGCGGGCGGAGCAGGCGGAGGGGAGGGCGGAGGGGACAACTCAGTAGCGGGGATAGAGATCCGGCCCGCGTCCCCCATGGCGTGCGTGGCGGAGAACAGCTACCAGCGCGGCATCCCGCGGCGGCTGTCCCTGAGCTTCGTGCACGCGTGGACGTTCACGTACACACACGTGGTGAACCGCACGGCTGTTATGAATGAGGATACGCTGCTGGAGCTGGTCAGGCGGCGGCCTGCTGGGACTCCGTTGATCACCATCAGCAACCACATGTCCACGTGCGTGGGGTGTGAGCTTTTGGGGTGGGGATGTATGGGGTCGCATGGGGCCACCTGGGGATGCATGGGTCGCATGGGGCCGCATGGGGCCGCATGGGGTCGCATGGGGTTGCATGCAGTCGCACGCGTGGACGTTCACGTACACGCACGTGGTGAATCGCACGGCTGTGATGAATGAGGACACGCTGCTGGAGCTCGTCAGGCGGAGGCCTGCTGGCACACCGTTGATTACCATCAGCAGCTACATGTCCACGTGCGTGGGGTAGTGGGTTGGGTATGGATGGGGCTGTTGCATAGGGTCGCATGGGGTTGTTTGCATGGGGTTGCTTACATGGGGTCGCATGGGGTTGTTTGCATGGGGTCGCATGGGTTTGTTTGCATGGGGTCGCATGGGGTTGTTTGCATGGGGTCGCATGGGGGTCGCATGGGGTTGTTTGCATGGGGTCGCATGGGGGTCGCATGGGGTCGCACGGCCTGGCATCTCTCTCTCTCTCCCTCGCTCGCTTCGTGCACGCGTGGACGTTCACGTGCACACACGTGGTGAATCGCACGGCTGTTATGAATGAGGACACGCTGCTGGAGCTGGTCAGGCGGCGGCCTGCTGGGACTCCGTTGATTACCATCAGCAACCACATGTCCACGTGCGTGGGGTGTTAGGCTGCGGATGCATGGGGTCGCCTGGGGTCGCATGGGGTCGCATGGGGTCGCATGGGGTTGCATGGGATCGCATGGGGTCGCATGGGGTTGCGTGGGGATTCAGGAGGTCGTGTGACCAGTGGCGCCTGCGCTGCGCTGGCCTGTCTCTCGCCCTTGTTCTCATTCCGCACTCTCCCCCGCACCAGTCTCGACGACCCGCTCCTATGGAACCAGTGGCGCCTGCGCTTCTCCTCCGCAACTGTGCCTCTGGACGCTCACAGTGTGGGACATCTGCTTTGTGACAAGTCTAAAAAATCCCCACCGCCTTCCCCCTCCCCACACCAGGCTCGACGACCCGCTCCTATGGAACCAGTGGCGCCTGCGCTTCTGCAGCCCGAGACCCTCCTCTCATCGCGTGTGCCCATTGTTTGTACCCTATCCATCCCACTCCCCCTTATTATCCCACCAGGCTCGACGGCCCGCTCCTCTGGAACCAGTGGCGCCTGCGCTTCTCCGGTTGGCCCCACCCCCTTGCTTCTCTCCCTCCCCCCCCGCCCCACCCCGCCCTGCCCTGCCTCGTCCCGCCCCACCAGGCTGGACGACCCGCTCCTATGGAACCAGTGGCGCCTGCGCTTCTCCGACCCGCATAAGTGCCGCTGGACGCTCACAGCACGCGACATCTGCTTCACACACCCCTTCACCGCCTACCTCTTCCGCCTGGGTGAGTCAGAGTGGCAGGGAATGGATGTGGCAATCCCTCCAGCAATGCCAACACCATGTCGGCATGCCAACACCATGTCGGCATGCCAACACCATGTCGGCATGCCAACACCAACACCATGTCGGTCACCGCCTACTTCTTTTGCCTCGGTCAGGCGCGGTGGCAGCGTTGGCTCTTCCCCCTTCCCCCCTCACACCTCCCCTCTTGCCATCCCCTCCCATCATCACTTCCCCCTTCCTACCCTCTTTCCTCGCCACCACCACCCCCCCTCTCCCCTCTCTCCGTGTTGCCGCCAGCCAAGTGCATCCCCATCGACCGATACGGAGGCATTTACCAGCCCGGCATCACAGAGGGGCGAGGGGCCTCTGTCCCGTTCCACCCCACAATTCAACCCCCTCCTCCCCCCTCTTCCCTCCCTCCCTTGGCGCCACCAGCCAAGTGCATCCCCGTCAACCGCTATGGTGGCATCTACTGGCCCGGCTTGACGGAGGCAGTTCAGCGGCCTCACCTTTCCTTATTTCCCTCCTCCCATCCCTTGCGGCCACCAGCCAAGTGCATCCCCATCGACCGCTATGGTGGCATCTACCAGCCCGGCATGACGGAGGCCGTTCAGCGACTCAGTGCGGGCGGATGGGTGAGTGTGGGAGAGGGATGGATGAGTGTGGAGGAGGGATGGATGAGTGTGGGGGAGGGATGGGTGAGTGTGTGAGAGGGATGGATGAGTGTGGAGGAGGGATGGATGAGTGTGGGGGAGGGATGGGTGAGTGTGGGGGAGGGATGGGTGAGTGTGGGGGAGGGATGGGTGAGTGTGGGGGAGGGATGGATGAGTGTGGGGGAGGGATGGATGAGTGTGGAGGAGGGATGGGTGAGTGTGTGAGTGTGTGGGAGGGATGGGTGAGTGTGGGGAAGGGATGGATGAGAGTGGGAGAGGGATGGGTGAGTGTGGGGGAGGGATGGGTGAGTGTGGGGGAGGGATGGGTGAGTGTGTGGGAGGGATGGGTGAGTGTGTGGGAGGGATGGGTGAGTGTGTGGGAGGGATGGGTGAGTGTGGGGGAGGGATGGGTGAGTGTGGGGGAGGGATGGGTGAGTGTGGGGGAGGGATGGGTGAGTGTGGGGGAGGGATGGGTGAGTGTGGGGGAGGGATGGATGAGTGTGGGGGAGGGATGGGTGAGTGTGTGAGAGGGATGGATGAGTGTGGAGGAGGTATGGATGAGTGTGGGGAGGGATGGGTGAGTGTGGGGAGGGATGGGTGAGTGTGGGGGAGGGATGGGTGAGTGTGGGGGAGGGATGGGTGAGTGTGGGGGAGGGATGGATGAGTGTGGGGGAGGGATGGATGAGTGTGGAGGAGGGATGGGTGAGTGTGTGAGTGTGTGGGAGGGATGGGTGAGTGTGGGGAAGGGATGGATGAGAGTGGGAGAGGGATGGGTGAGTGTGGGGGAGGGATGGGTGAGTGTGGGGGAGGGATGGGTGAGTGTGGGGGAGGGATGGGTGAGTGTGTGGGAGGGATGGGTGAGTGTGTGGGAGGGATGGGTGAGTGTGGGGGAGGGATGGGTGAGTGTGGGGGAGGGATGGGTGAGTGTGGGGGAGGGATGGGTGAGTGTGGGGGAGGGATGGGTGAGTGTGGGGGAGGGATGGGTGAGTGTGGGGGAGGGATGGGTGAGTGTTAGGGAGGGATGGGTGGGTGTGGGGGAGGGATGGGTGAGTGTGGGGGAGGGATGAGTGAGTGTGGGAGAGGGATGGATGAGTGTGGGGGAGGGATGGGTGAGTGTGGGGGAGGGATGGGTGAGGGTGGGGGAGGGATGGGTGAGTGTGTGGGAGGGATGGGTGAGTGTGGGGGAGGGATGGGTGAGTGTGGGGGAGGGATGGGTGAGTGTGGGGGAGGGATGGGTGAGTGTGGGGGAGGGATGGGTGAGTGTTGGGGAGGGATGGGTGAGTGTGGGGGAGGGATGGGTGAGTGTGGGGGAGGGATGGGTGAGTGTGGGAGAGGGATGGATGAGTGTGGGGGAGGGATGGATGAGTGTGGGGGAGGGATGGATGAGTGTGGGGGAGGGATGGATGAGTGTGGGGGAGGGATGGATGAGTGTGGGGGAGGGATGGGTGAGTGTGGGGGAGGGATGGGTGAGTGTGGGGTAGGGATGGGTGAGTGTGGGGTAGGGATGGGTGAGTGTGGGGTAGGGATGGGTGAGTGTGGGGGAGAGATGGGTGACCAGGGGCTCGGAAGAGGAGAGGGAGGAGAGGAAGTGAAGGGGGAAAAGACGGAGGTAAAAAGTGGCTGAGTGCATTTACCACTGCCAGCCTGGCATGACGGAGTCCGTTCAGCGGCTCAGTGCGGGCGGATGGGTGAGTGCAGCGTGGGGGGGGGGGGATTCGGGGGAAGGGGAAAGACGAGATGAAGAGGGGAAAGACGTGATGAAGGGGGGAAAGAGGGAAGTGGAAAGTGGCTCAGAGCGTCTACCCGCCGGGCATGACTAATGCCATTCAGTGGCTCAGTGCGGGTGGATGGGTGAGTGGAAAATCTCGTGAATTAGCAGCCTGTGCTATCAATCAAGCCTGTGCTATCAATCAACCCACACACCAATCACCCTCCTCCGCCTCTTCTCCCTCCTTCCCCCCCGCGTCCTCCCCTTTGCCCTTCCCTCCCCGTTAAAACCGCCCACTCTCTCCATTCACACCCCACCCACCCCACTCTACCTTATTCCACTCCATCTGCGCATCTTCTTCCCAGAGGGGCGCATCTTCTTCCCAGAGGGGCGCATCTTCTTCCCAGAGGGGCGCATCTTCTTCCCAGAGGGGCGCATCTTCTTCCCAGAGGGGCGCATCTTCTTCCCAGAGGGGCGCATGGTCGCACAGGACCACGTGGGCTTGGCACGACTCAGATTTCTCTTGAAGATCTTCCCAAGTACCTCCCACCCCATTCCACCGTATTCCACTCCTCTCCAGTTGATCATCTGCCCGGAGGGGCGATCACCCAGGAGCACGTGGCCCTGTCGCGCCTCATGTTGTTGCTCTATAACCTCCTTCCTGATGCCCGCTTCCAACCCCGCTCCACCCCATTCCAGTCGACACCCCACTCCACCTTACTCCACCGCAGCTGCACGTCTTCCCAGAGGGGCGTATCACCCAGGAGCATGTGGCAATGGCGCGCCTCAAGGGTCCTTCAGATCATTACAAATACTTCCCACATATTCCACCCCATCCCACCCCATTCCACCCCATTCCACCCCATTCCACCCCGTTCCACCCTGCTAGACGCCGTTCCACTGGATTGCACTTCCCCCTCCCCAGCTGCACATCTGCCCAGAGGGGCGCATCAACCAGGAGCACATCGCCTTGTCGCATCTCAAGTGTTTTTTCAGCTCTTTCCAAATACCTCCCACCCCATTCCACCGCATTCCTCTGCCTTCCACCGCATTCCACCCCTCCCCAGCTGCACATCCTCTCACAAAAACACATCACCCAGGAGCATGTGGCATTGGCGCACCTCAAGTGTTTCCTTCAGCTTTTTCCAAATACCTCCCACCCATCCCACCCCACCGCATTCCACCCCTCCAACTGCACATCTTTTCAGAGGGGCGCATCACCCAGGAGCACGTGGCATTGGCGCACCTCAAGTGTTTCCTTCAGCTTTTTCCAAATACCTCCCACCCATCCCACCCCACCGCATTCCGCCCCTCTCCAGCTGCACATCTTCCCAGAGGGGCGCATCACCCAGGAGCACGTGGCATTGGCACGCCTCAAGTGGGGGCTCGCATCGGTCATCGACCGCTGCACCTCCCCTGTCCCCCCTATCATCCTCTGTGTGGCACACAGCGGCTTTGAGAATGTGAGTGATGTGTGTATGCAGCAGCTTCGATAGTAAGCCTGCATGTCACCTGCATGCATGTCACTTGCATGTCTTGCTGCATCCGCACGCCTCAAGTGGGGGCAGGCGTCGGTCATCGACCGCTGCACCTCGCCCGTCCCCCCCATCATCCTCTGTGTGGCACGGCACACAATGGCTTTGAGAATGTGAGTGCCGTGTGCACCCAGCAGCTTTCATAAATGTGCATCCATCCACTCCCCATGTGCCCAGCGGCTCTCCTCTGTGTGTCTCACAAAGCAGCGCGCTTGAGAAAGCGAGTATTATGCTTTTGAGTCGACTCAAAATGAGAATGCGAGTAGTATGTGCCTGCATCCACTTTTCATGTACTTGTTGTGAGCGTCTTGTGCCGGATCCACAAGAGCCCGTCTGGCCAGCTGGGCCACTGTGGAAAGTTGCATGTCCTGCTCCATTGCCGGTTCTTCTCTTAGCAGCTCACTGCAGGTTTGAGAATGCAAGTGTGGTGGTTGAGGGGACCTTCCGCTTCCACATCGTGACACGCCCTCTCTTACTTCCTCTCTCACTCTCCTCTCTCCTACACCGCCAAGTCATGCCTGAGCCACGTGCGTTTGGGCACAGGGCCATAGCCCCGCTGTGGGGGCAGCGCATAGCAGTGGTGGTGGGGGAGCCGTTTTGCTTCCACACACTCATACGCTCTCTCTCATTCCCTCACTCACTCCCTCACTCATTACCCTTCCTCCCACAACCCCAGGTCATGCCTGAGCCACGTCCATTCGGTCACAGGGCCATAGCGCCCCTGTGGGGGCAGCGCATAGCAGTGGTGGTGGGGGAGCCGTTTCAATTCAACACTCTTACCATCCTCCCTCTCTCCCTCACTCCCTCACTCACTCTCTCCCATCCCTCAACCCCAGGTGATGCTTGAGCCGTGTGCGTTCGGCCACAAGGCCATAGCGCCACTGTGGGGGCAGCGCATAGCGGTGGTGGTGGGGGAGCCCTTCTGCTTCCACGCACTTACACACCCTCACATGCTCCGTCACTCCCTCCCACTCTCAGGTCATGCCTGAGCCACGGGCGTTCGGGCACAGGGCCATAGCGCCGCTGTGGGGGCAGCGAATAGCGGTGGTGGTGGGGGAGCCGTTCCAATTCAACATGCCGGCGCTCAGAGCAGCTGCCGCCCACGCTGCTGACCACCCAGACGACTCACCCTTCGGGGTCGAACCCACTCCGCCTGCTGCCGCTCCCCCCACTGCTGCTGCTGCTACTGCTGGTTCTGATTCTGCTGCTGCTGCTTCTGCTGCTTCTGATTCTGCTGCTGCTGCTTCTGCTCCCACTGCTGCTGCTTCTGATTCCACTGCTGTTTCTGCTGGTTCTGCTGATGCTGCTGTTGCCCCAAGTGCTCCTGCTGCGGTGGCAGCAGGCAGGGAATCAACGGTGGTGGAAGTGGGAGGGGGCAGCAGTGCAGTGAAGGACGAGGCAACGAGGAGGCTGTATGCGTTCATCACAGGGGAGGTGCGGCAGCGGCTGCAGGGTGCAGTGGATGAAGCACACCTGAGGCAAGCAGACGGGTGCTGCCGATGAGTGCTGCTGAGTGCTGCCGATGAGTGCTGCTGAGTGCTGCCGATGAGTGCTGCTGAGTGCTGCTGAGTGCTGCTGTTGAGTGCTGCTCGTGAGTGCATGCCTGCTGCATGCTGCATTCCAGACACAGGGTTATGCTTCAGCTTTTCTGGCTCATCACGGGGGAGATGCAGCAGCGACTGCAGGGTGCAGTGGATGAGGCACACCGGCGCCAGGCGGATGGGTGCTGCATGGGTGCATGCTTGCTGATTTTATCATGCAGCAGTTGCTTCTGCTTTTCACATGAGAGGTGCGGCACAGGCTGCAGGCTGTAGCAAATGAAGCACACCAAGCGGTAGGCAGATGGGTGCTGCTGACTGCTGCTTGCGTTTGCACACATGCTCTCAAGTTCATACCTACTGCCGCGTTACCCGCCTAACGCCACAACACCATGCAAGAGACACGGAGCACATTTCCCCTCGTACTATAGGAGTTTTAAAGGCTTTACATTTGAGCCGATATGAAATCGACAACTGCATGACGCATGTCGTGTTTCTTGCACTGCATGGTACTCCAATTTTCTACAAGCTACTGTATTTCCTTATTAAATACGTGCTTTGTAATTGGTTGATTCCTTATTTTATGTATTGAGAAAGCTTGTTTTCTTATTCTTATCAATTGGCATCGTTCTCATTACAAATGGCTTACGGTATTACAACATTTGCATCAACGTTGAACACAAGCTAGTGCAATCGTGTAACACTAGTTAAGATGTACCCTATCCAAGTGGCATTAGCAAGGCGGTTTGCTCTGGGGTGGGTGGTGGGAATGTTGAGTGAGCCGTTGGAAAATCGAGAAACGTGGGTGGAGGGAAATGAACTCCAACCCACGGTTTTTGTAGTTGGAGAAGGGCGTTTAGCGTGCTTCGACGATGCCAATTGTGCAGTACAAGCAGCTTCGCTTTCACAATACACAATTTTAAAAAACACAATGTGTGTTTAAAAATTATAATTTCTGTTGATAGATGTCCGCGCACTAGTCCGGGCGGCTTGATCTCATGTTAAACCAACATATATATGAGGTTTGCTGACACTCATACCACACTTGCGTTTTGAGGAAAACCATGTAAGACTTACCTTACTGGTATCAATCAAGCCTTCACACTGTACACAAATTACCAAGTTGCACACACTGCACCTACCTACGAGACATACTACCGTACCATATACTGCGGATATAGCACAAATGCTGGATACAAATTTTCTCTACCCCTCAAGTACTATATGAGTCTTCCATGCGTCCAGTATTTGCTCCAAGGTGAGTCGATCATCCCACTCAGTCAGAATGGCCCCGCGCACCACCCCCACCAGGAACCTCGCCTGCTCCTCCGTCCACTGCCCCTCAAGGCTTTTATCAACCACTTCGCTGTAATCTGTGAAGTCTGGGTCGTTCAGCTTCTCCCTGGGCTCTTGAAAGGACTCGTCCAACGCGGGGTATCCGGTTATAAGCTCTAGCAGGAAGATTCCAAAGGCGAACGTGTCGCAGTGCGTGGATAGGTATCCTGATGAGGGGGGAAATGGAAGAAGAGCAGTCGTATAAATGAAAGGAGTCCTGACTCTAATGCAGGGTATCCTGTCATGAGCTCTAGTAGGAAAATTCCGAAGGCGTACGTGTCGCAGTGCGTGGAGAGGTATCCTGAGGGGGGAAAGGAGGAAAAGAGAGCCGGGTGATATACGGAGTGGTCCGACGCAAGGTACCCTGTCACGAGCTGAAGGCGTACGTGTCACAGTGCGCGGAGAGGTATCCTGATGAGGGGGGAAAGGGGAGCAGAGCAGTAGGATGGTGAAATGATTCATCTAATGCGGGATAACCAGTAACAAGCTCCAAAAGGAAGTGTACGAAAGTGTGTGTATGTGTGGCAGTGAGCGGATAGATATCCTGAGGGGAAGAAGGAGTAATAGGGCAGCGGTATGATAAAAGTCGTAACAGTAGGTATCCGGTTGAGGGGTTTATGGTAGTTCTTTGTGTGGTTCCAATAAGCGTTCAGATGCGTCGTTAGCTTCTGAGTCGACTCAACAGTCACACGGCAGCTCACCTCTCTCGCAGTGTGAAGGGTCCATTTAGCCCATCATCGACCCGACCATTCTTTAAACCGACTACCAAGTTGCCCAATCACAAAGGGACAGCCAACCAACTCCAAAGCTCACCTCTCTCAAAGTAAGCAGGGTCCATATAGCCCATCGACCCAGCCAGCATCTGCAGCGTGTGAGCTTACCCTTCTCATAGACTCGTACTAGCTGGCAGAACAAGTATTGCCGGCTCACCTCGCTCAAAGTAAGCAGGGTCCATGTAGCCCATCGACCCAGCCACTCGCGTCGTGACATGTGACTTGTCCCCGGATGACTTGGCCAATCCGAAATCCGCCACCTTGGGAACGAGTGTCTGGAGACATGTGGATACCGAGAACAGAGAGTTGGAAGGGAGAAATTAGTTCACGTCGCTTTTAGCGGCGCAGCAGATTCAGAGTAAAGGCATGTATAATTTGCCTTCGCTAGAATCACATTGGTGTGACCCACCTTGGTTAGAAGCACATTGGCGCCCTTAAAGTCGCGATGAATGAAGCCTGCCTTTTGAATCGCAGCCAGCCCCTCAAGACTCCCCTCTGCCACACGCAGTCGCTCCTGCCAGGGGAAGGGCTTTTCTCCATCCCTTGCTGCTTGGAATAAGAGGGGTGAGAGAAATCACATAGATATTGGGCCTTCCTAGACAAGGGTTGTTCACCACACCTTACTGCTTGGAAGGGAAGGGGTGAGAGAGAGAGAGAGAGAGAGAGAGAGAGAGAGAGAGAGAGAGAGAGAGAGAGAGAGAGACAAGAGAGCCATGCCGGGGTGCGTGCGAAGGGGACATGACATGCACCGGTCCCCTTCGCACCCCAGCACATGTCATGTCCAGCACATGTCATGTCCAGCACATGTCATGTCCAGCACATGCAAGGAATGAACTATGAGCCGGTCAAGCCGGTGCTGCCTTCCACAGGAGATGCTGTTCATTCCAGCCCATTCCACTGCATTACACCCCATTTTATTGCATTCTGCTGCATCACAACCCCCCCTACCTTTTTCTAGCCGCTGTGAAACATCGCCCCCAGGGACGAATTCAGAGACCATTGAGATGTTTCTTCCCATCACGGCCATTCCCAGCAGCCGCAGCACATTGGGATGGCGCAAAGCCGTCATCACCATGATCTCCGTCTGCCACGGGGGGAGGAGAGGAGGAGGAGGGGGTGAGGGGGGACTAGAGAAATATATATTTATATATATAAAGTACGATGAAGGTAAGTATATATAAATAGAAAAGGCTATAAAAAAAATGGAAAGAGGAAAGAAAGAAATTTCCTCTAGATCAGCAATTTCCTCTTTCTTTTAAAAGCTGCATCTGCATCTACAAGTACTATATATATAGTATATATATATATATATATATGTGTGTGTGTGTGTGTGTGTGTGTGTGTGTGTGTGTGTGTGTGTGTGTGTGTGTGTGTGTGTGTGTGTGTGTGTGTGTGTGTGTGTGTGTGTGTGTGTGTGTGTGTGTGTGTGTGTGTGTGTGTGTGTGTGTGTGTGTGTGTGTGTGTGTGTGTGTGTGTGTGTGTGTGTGTGTGTGTGTGTGTGTGTGTGTGTGTGTGTGTGTGTGTGTGTGTGTGTGTGTGTGTGTGTGTGTGTGTGTGTGTGTGTGTGTGTGTGTGTGTGTGTGTGTGTGTGTGTGTGTGTGTGTGTGTGTGTGTGTGTGTGTGTGTGTGTGTGTGTGTAGTGTGTGTGTGTGTGTGTGTGTGTGTGTGTGTGTGTGTGTGTGTGTGTGTGTGTGTGTGTGTGTGTGTGTGTGTGTGTGTGTGTGTGTGTGTGTGTGTGTGTGTGTGTGTGTGTGTGTGTGTGTGTGTGTGTGTGTGTGTGTGTGTGTGTGTGTGTGTGTGTGTGTGTGTGTGTGTGTGTGTGTGTGTGTGTGTGTGTGTGTGTGTGTGTGTGTGTGTGTGTGTGTGTGTGTGTGTGTGTGTGTGTGTGTGTGTGTGTGTGTGTGTGTGTGTGTGTGTGTGTGTGTGTGTGTGTGTGTGTGTGTGTGTGTGTGTGTGTGTGTGTGTGTGTGTGTGTGTGTGTGTGTGTGTGTGTGTGTGTGTGTGTGTGTGTGTGTGTGTGTGTGTGTGTGTGTGTGTGTGTGTGTGTGTGTGTGTGTGTGTGTGTGTGTGTGTGTGTGTGTGTGTGTGTGTGTGTGTGTGTGTGTGTGTGTGTGTGTGTGTGTGTGTGTGTGTGTGTGTGTGTGTGTGTGTGTGTGTGTGTGTGTGTGTGTTGTGTGTGTGTGTGTGTGTGTGTGTGTGTGTGTGTGTGTGTGTGTGTGTGTGTGTGTGTGTGTGTGTGTGTGTGTGTGTGTGTGTGTGTGTGTGTGTGTGTGTGTGTGTGTGTGTGTGTGTGTGTGTGTGTGTGTGTGTGTGTGTGTGTGTGTGTGTGTGTGTGTGTGTGTGTGTGTGTGTGTGTGTGTGTGTGTGTGTGTGTGTGTGTGTGTGTGTGTGTGTGTGTGTGTGTGTGTGTGTGTGTGTGTGTGTGTGTGTGTGTGTGTGTGTGTGTGTGTGTGTGTGTGTGTGTGTGTGTGTGTGTGTGTGTGTGTGTGTGTGTGTGTGTGTGTGTGTGTGTGTGTGTGTGTGTGTGTGTGTGTGTGTGTGTGTGTGTGTGTGTGTGTGTGTGTGTGTGTGTGTGTGTGTGTGTGTGTGTGTGTGTGTGTGTGTGTGGTGCTAATACGTTGGGACCATGATATCTGTTTGGCAAGAAAAAGGGAGAAGAGGGTGAGAGGGTTTGAGACTAAACACATCAGGTCAATTGGTGGAAAGCTGTCATTGCCAAGAGTGACTCACCATCAGCTGCTCCCTTCCCCCCAAGTCTTCCTCCTCCTCCATATGGCACATCTTCACCGCCACCGGAAGAAACCGCTTCCCATCCACTTCCGCCACTTCCAACCCCTCCAGTGTCTCCTCGAGTCTCTCCTCCGCCTCCTCCTCCTCATCCCCCCCGTTCTCCCCGTCCCCTTCCCCGCGCGCTCCCCCACCCGGCAGCAGCAGCATGCCCTTGTAGACGGCGCCGAAGCCGCCTTCCCCCAGCTTGGTGCGCCAGTCGCCCGTCGCCCGCCGCAGCTCCTCCTGCGAGTACCGCGGCAGCGCGCCGTCCGCGCCCACCGCGCGCATCACCACCGGCTTTAGGTCATTGCTTTCTGCGGGAGAGGTAAGGGGAGGGGGGGCGGAAGGGAGGGGGGAAGGGGGAAGGGGCGGGAAGGGAGGGCAAGGAAATTGAGAGGGTCCCTCCGCCCCCACCGCGCGCATCACCACAGGCTCTAGCGGACCGTCCTCTGAGGGAAGGGGGGAGGGAGGGGGAAAGTCGGATGGTTGGGAGAATATGGTCCTGCCGATACTGCTCCCAAAAGCATATGCGGGGGGAAGTGGGATGTGCGTGCGTGCGTGCGTTCGTGCATATGTGCGCATGTTTGCTGCGCGGACGCGCGCATTACCTGAAGATTGACCAATAAGAGAAGGCGGGGGTGCGGTCAACCCAACCCAATCCGAATCAACCAGCAACCCTTTATATTACATTATCAAGCCGAGCATTGCGCGTTCGAGCCGTTGCTCGTGCGTGACTCACCCGTGCCTTTGCTTATGAGTCAACTCAAAAGGCTACTACATTATCAAGCCGAACATGCCGCGTTCGAGCCGTTGCTCGTAACTCACTCGTGCCTTTGCTTTCACGGGCGCGTGGAGATGACGGCCCTCCTCCGAAGCAGCAGAAGACCATACTCGAGGCTCGGAGCAATTAAGAAAAACTCGGGATTTTGAAGCTTGACCTCAAAAAGGGGCGATCACGCTGGCAGGTGGTGTTGATACGGTATGCTACAAGAGTGGTCAAGTTTTGAGTCGACTCAAAAGCATATGCTGACTCTTGAGCTCAAAAAGCGACCTTCGCAGGTGGTGCCGATACGGTATGCTAAGAATGGTCAATATAACTACTGTGTGGTGCTTCGTGGGTGTTTCTCCCTCGTTTGGTGGCGTGTTTTTTCAAGTAGATAAAGCACGGCGTCCTCAACCCCCAATATTCGCTAACTACGAGACGATCGAAGCCGCAATATAGTGCGCACGATGACAACCGACAAACTAAGTAAGAGAAGTACGAGATAATAGGTACTCCTGGTGCTCAAGTACCCTACTAGCTAGAGATGAGATACGTGCTCTTGTTTTCTAGACAAAATAGTGCTGTTCCGGTGTGGCACCCGGACGACAGCCACTCGAATCTTGGGATTGGAAGTTGGAACGTGTACAGTGTACATGAAGAATAAATATAATTGGCGGACGTTTTGTAGCGACTGGATGAGAACGACAAGCCACGACTAGAGGCGCAGAAACTTCGGTTGGGGAGATCGCTGGAACTGTCGCTCGCGAAGTTTCTGAAATTGTCAAGGTCAAGGTACCGTGCAAAACAGAACCAGCATGCGGAAGTTCAGCTGGAGATTGATGACAACCAAGCTATGCAAAACCTGCCCGCACGGTCACCAAACGGTCTGTAAGCTGGCGAATCATCACCTGCAGAGTTTCCCGCCTTCAAGAAAATGCGCTCCCTTGAAAGTTGTAAGGGACCAAACGATGGGTGTGTGCCCTTGCCCAGCAGGGAGGAATTGGGAAGCATACACACCTGAACTGCCTCGTTACTGCGGTGGCACGAAACATGCGTCAGCCCAGACCCCACCAAGTGATGAACCTCTCACAAGAGAGCGGTTGAGTACGATATTGTGCACTCTGGAGCTATCGTTGACCACTCTGAACCTCTCGCTACTCACCAGCCTGAACACTTCTCGTACAGTATATGTGTTAGGCCCGACGGCCTAAATCCGCTAAAGAATTAGTGGGGTCGACTAAGTCGAGGATGAAACGCAGCGGAAGACTTTGGCGAAAGAACTATTGGCGAAATAGGCGAAGAAGTTACTGAGTAATTGAAGAAGAGTTGGATGAGAATTGATTGATAATGCCAAGTACAAGTGAGGTTTATATAGCATGCAAGATACAAGGTTGGAAAGTAGATTGTGGGACTAGGAATTGTGAAGCTAGAAAAGTAGAGTGCCACGTGGCACTAGAGAATCCAAGAAGATAAGGATAAGGATGAGTTGGATGGGTTGGGAAAGTACTGTTCAAAGGGAACAGTAAATTCCCCCTTAACACTACCCCCTTCCCAAGAAGGCAACGTCCGCGGCGCCTGCAGACTGGAGGTACGCTTGGAGGCAAGCGTTGTCGGGAGACAGCGAGAACGAAGGAACCCAGCTGTCGTCTGATGCGTCGTAACCATGCCAACGAACCAAGAAGTCGATGAAAGGGACACCCCCCTGGAGTCGGCGACGGTGCCTGAGGATGCGCTGGATCTGGTAGTCGGGCTCGTCGGTGTCAACAGCTACCGACTGTGGAGTGCGGTCACGGCCCGAGAAGGTGGCATTGGGATCGGTGTAAGGACAAAGAAGCGACACGTGGAATGACGGGTGCATGCCGAAATGAACGGGAAGGCGGAGGCGGTATGCAACTGGACCAAGCGCGCGCTCAATGACGAATGGACCAATGAAACGTGGACGAAGCTTGCTGTCCTGTGGCAGTCGGAGGTTGCGGCTATCCAAGAGAACACGGTCGCCGACTGCGAACGACACCTCATGACGACTGCGGTTGGTGGTGCGTGCCATGCGTGCATTTGCGAGCTCAAGGTGCTTCCTCACGTGATCATGAATGAAGGTGAGATGCTGGTGGAAGTTGTCCGCACGAAGGACTGTGGGTGTGAGATCGGCACGAGTGGGGACATTGGGGTGCTGACCGTACAGTGCGAAGAACGGTGACATGCCTGTAGACGAGTGGTGCGTGTTGTTGTAGGCGAACTCGGCCATGCTCAGCTTCTTGTCCCATGCGGCTGCGTCGTGCATCGTGATGCTGCGAAGAATCTACTCCAAGGTCTGGTTCACACGCTCGGTCTGTCCGTCTGTCTCTGGATGGTACGTAGACGACATGGCTAAGCGAGTCCTGAACAGTGCGAAAAGCTGCTTCCAGAACTTCGAAGTGAAACGAGGGTCGCGGTCTGAGATGATGGAATCTGGAACCCCGTGCAGTCGGACTACGTTATCTACGAACAGTGTCGCGGCTTCCTCTGCTGGGACCTTGCCGTGCGTGGGGATGAAGTGTGCTGCTCGAGAGAACTTGTTGACTACAACGAAGATGGCGTCGTGACCCCTAACTGTGCGCGGTAAAGCCATGATGAAATCCATGGTGACTACCTGCCAAGGGCGGTCGGGCGGTGGAATCGGCTGCAAGAGTCCTGCTTTGCGCTGGCGAGATGACTTCGTACGCTGACACGTGTCGCACGAGCGAATGTAATCCTCTACGTCTGCTGCAAGCCCGGGCCAGTAGTACGTGCAACTAAGCGTCTTAGCCGTCTTATCTGCTCCGAAGTGACCTGCACTAACTACGTCGTGCGCCTCTGAGAGAAGGAGCTGTCGAAGAGGGCGGTAGGCTATAACCCAAATCCATGTGGTACCCTTCCGTATGTAGACACTACCCTGCACCTCTGCTCATGCGGGCGGCTGCGGTGTGAAGTCGGGATCTACTGTGTGACCGTGCTCGAAGAGTGCTGTGAGAAGTGGGTGGCCGGCAGTGACTGTGAGACTAGCGAGCTGGCAACTAGGGCGAGTGAGTGGATCTGCTGGGTTGCGCACGCCTGGCTTGTACTCTATCCTGTAGTGGAAACTCCCCTCCATGAACTCCATCCATCTAGCCTGGCGACGACTCAGCTGCGGCTGCGACTTGAGAAAGCGAAGCGAGCAATGGTCCGTGCGTATAACAGTATCTGCCCCCTCTAGATAGCACCTCTGACAGGCGGCGGCGGCGGCAGCAGTGGAGGCGGAGGAGGCGGCGGTGGTGGTGGAGGGAGTGGAGGCGGCGGAGGTGGCGGAGGAGGCGGAGGTGGAGGAGGCGGAGGAGGCGGCGGTGGCAGCAGTGGACCTGGTCGCGGCTCTGCGCAGAGGAGTGGCTCCGGTGGTGGTACGCGCCAGCAGCAGCAGAGCAGTCGTGAGACCCTGTCCCCTCAGCAGCTTCGTGAGTGGTACGCTGCGCGTCAACGCGGTGGGGGTACGGGTCCCTGCACCTACGTTCTCTGCACCGGTGACCGCGCTGGTGAGCAGTATGGGGGCCCGCACTCCACCCAGCGCTGCTTCGGCCGCCTGACGGACGCGTGGCGTCACCAGTTCCCTGGGGCCTCTGAGATCCCTCGTTGGGGAGAGCTGTCTAGGACGGGGGTTGCTATCTTTGATCTTGATTTTGATGCTATTCTTGCTGCCATGTATGCTGTTGATGATAGTATTGTGGGTGACTGTTACCTGTGTGTACTGCTTGACCTGAACATTGAGGCTGCTGCTCTAGGTGCTAGTGCGTCTGCTGCCCCAGGTGCTAGTGCGTCTACTGCCCCAGGTGCTGGTGAATCTGCGCTCTCAGGTACCACGTCGGCTCAGGCCTTACACACCTTCACCCTTGACTCGGGTGCGTCCCGCTCCTTCTTTCGAGACCGCACCACTCTTACGCCGCTCAATGGGCCAGTTGCAGTCTCCCTGGCGGACCCCTCTAGGGGTCCTTTCCTTGCTAGCTTCTCTACTATCTTACCGTGCACAGCAGCCCCCTCTCGCACCCTGTCAGGTCTCTACCTCCCCTCGTTCTCTACGAACTTGGTGAGTGGAGCGGACCTACAGGATAGGGGGGTTGACCAGTTCACTCCTGCAAGTCAGCGGGTGACCCACTGCACGTGTGCTCGGACAGGCCAACACTTGGCCACGTTCACCCGTCGGCCAGGGTCGAGCCTGTACACACTTACTACTGAGTCTCCTTCGGCTGCTGAGTCTGCCCAGGTAGCTGCGTCGAGTCAAGTGTTTGCTGCAGCAACTAGGTCTGAACCTGAGTCTGCTCCCTGCTCGTGTCATCTCCTGTCCCACCAGAATCTCCTTTGGCACCACCGCCTTGGTCACCCCTCCCTGCCTCGTCTCCGAGGCATGGCCTCCCTTGTCCTTGTCTCTGGTCTCCCTCGGTCTCTCCCTCCCCTACCTCTGGGGCCTGGCCCTACCTGCGACCCCTCCGTTGAGGGGCGACAGCGCGCCGCCCCTCACTCCTCCGAGTTTCCTCCGACAGAGGCTCCGCTGCAGACTCTCCACATGGACGTGTGGGGCCCCGCCCGCGTCAGTGGGCAGGGGAGCGAACGGTACTTCCTGCTGGTGGTTGACGACTACTCACGTTACACCACAGTCTTCCCCTTACGCAACAAGGGTGACGTCACTAAGGTGTTGATCAATTGGATCCGCGCAGCTCGTCTCCAGCTCAGAGAGATTTTCGGCTCAGACTTTCCTATACTGCGTCTGCACTCTGACAGAGGCGGGGAGTTTTCCTCGGCCCGTCTGGGAGCCTTATGTCGTGCGCAGGGCATCCGCCAGACCTTCACGCTTCCGGCCTCTCCTCAGCAAAATGGGATTGCTGAGCGCCGCATTGGCATGGTCATGGACGTCGCTCGTACGTCCATGATGCATGCGGCTGCCCCCTATTTTCTGTGGCCGTTTGCGGTTCAGTACGCCGCGCATCAGCTCAACCTTCAGCCCCGGGTCTCCTTGCCAGAGACCTCCCCAGCCTTGCGGTGGACCAGGAAGGTTGGCAATGCGTCTGCGTTTCGGGTCTGGGGATCTTGGGCGTCTGTCCGCGACTTGTATGCAGACAAGCTGTCCCCCCGTGCTGTTCCCT